AAATTCTTGCCCAGGCCACCTGTAAAGGTCACTTGCCTTGGAGGCGTTAGTTGTAGTATCTCTTTGTTTTACAACGTCCATCTATGACAGTTCATTGTAGTATTTGGGAGTTGTTTTAGTGAATGAGTCACTTTTTATCCAATGTTTTAAAAAATTCCTTGCACAAGGATAAACCTTGCTTTGGCAACAATGACAAAATTGGACTTTGGCTACTCATCAACTGAATGCGATTCAAATTCAGATGAAAAGAAGCTCTCCAATGATCAGCTTTAAATCTAAACAAGCTATCATAAAAGTGACAAGTCTGCAGTATCTATGTCCTACGAATTGCTTCGTGAGGCCACCGACATTAAAACACTTTTCTACTTTTCAGGTCAGATGTGTAACAAGCTGGATGTCAAATGCGAAGGAGCTGTCTTTTTCTAAGTGAAAAGCTTACCGTTGGCATTCGAGGCAAATGAAACAATCTCACAGAATGTCTTTGTCCATTGGTTGTGTCCCTGAAAGACATTTAGCAGAGATCATTTCTGACTTTTTGTCTACTGTCGTAGAAACCATTGGAAGAATGAGATGAGGTTATGAATGGTTCTTCACAGATTTAAAATTTAACAATGAATTCATGTTTTAAAAAATGTGAAGCCAGAAACCATGGTAAACAATGTGAATAAATGACATTGAATTCCTTTTTAATTTAGGATCTGATAGGCAAAACTTTGAATTTACAATGAGCATACAGGACCTAGACAAGACGTTGGTGACAATGTGAGTCTATATCTTCGGTAGGTTTATTCTGGTTCATTAGGTCCTAGTTAATATTTGCGATGAACGAAACATATACAATAACCTTTCCCCATGTTTTATATGCTTTGTGGTTTATATTTTCTTGCCATCTTGGTATTTCACTAAAAATCTGTAAACTTAGGCATATCACATAACATACGCATGCATCCATAAGAACAAATTACAGAGAAGCGGACTGCAGAGTAATGACTTTGTCACACCAAGGCAACAGCAACATACTGTCAACATTTTAAGCCTGCATTTATAATCACATCTAATTTTCTGGGTTGTTCTCAATAATCTTACTTGAATTTCAAATTTTCTAGTATGTAAGATCACGTATCAAAAAGAACTCATCCATTATCTGTATTTAAAAATTTCAATCTGTTGAAGTCAAACAACCCAAACGATATGGGAATTTTTTTTGCAGATGAAGGAATGATCTGTGGAAACTTTTGATAGAAAGGCAGCTTTAACCAAATGAAGAATGCAGAAATGCAAAAAATTGGACTAATTGAGAATATTTACCTTGTATAAGAAGCAAGATTAAAATTTCAACCTTTAATGTCACAAGTTGTAGATAACAAAATATATTCAAAATAAATTCCTTTAAAAAAAGGGTCATTTGGAAATACTATCACCTTACTCAAAGTGAGAGAAACAACTATGCAATTCTCAGAATTACAATCGGCATCAGCTTAAAAGCAGACATTGTAGATTATAGTCTACACCTAAAGTATTGCATCTTATCGAAAAGTTCCAATTTTTTTCTGTAAGTGAGGACATTGGCGTAGGAGACAAAGAAGCAGGGATGACCAGCAGGGACGGCTGCAGCCCCCAAAAGCAATTGGCCTTTCAAGCCCAATTCGAGCAGTCCTGTCTCAATGAAGCAATAATATTCAGGCAAGATCATTACTAAGACCCCACCCCCCTGCTACCCTCCAAAAAATCTTGCATACTCGACGCTAATTTGTGACGCGGGAAAATTTTATGGTTAGAAGGGTGTCTACTCTTCTTTACACGTTGGAGGTTTTCCTGTGTTTTCTCCATTATTCGGCTTTGGTTACTTTCTTTGTTGGAAAAAACTTTCAATAGGAACATTTTTGAAAAAAAGGGAAATCTGAAAAATGGAGCCACTTTTTTAGCTCCTGGAAAAATGGAGGCTGATTTTATCCTCTTTCCTTTAATATTAGATAAAAAATCAACGAATATTTTTACCATTTCAGAAAATTTGAGTCTATAATATTGCCTTATTGAAATGAAGGTCCAAATCAAGGCTTTTTAAGGGCACCTTTCTCAAAAACAGACCATTAAATTTAATAGCAGAACGTAGTGCACGAATGCAAATTGAAAATATTAAAGAAAAATTTTTTCTAAAATTGTCAACAGAGTAGCAACATTTTTGAGGATTTCCAATATGGTCGATGCTTTAGGCGGGGAGGGCTGTCACCCTTTGGCTATCTCTTCTTACCCACAGATGCGATCTATAGAAACCAAAAGATAATAATGCAAAGAGATGGCCTGGCTATTGAAATTTGAGACGCCTTCCTCTCCTTTCTACTTTCTATGCATCGATGTTATTGGAAATATACACACAGGCAGTACTCTGTTCGTAATTGTTCTCTCAAGTCACTGGGGACATTTGCTAGAAAAGGCAAAGCCTTCAAAAACCAATGTATTCATTCTACACAATAATGGCAGGATAAGCTTGAAACTTTTCTCCCAATCATTGCCTAAGTTGTATAAATTCTACTTGCAGGTCTTCTTGGAAAGTGACGATTTCGTTCAAGAGGGTTTGCCTGATCAAAGCACACATATCTGGTAGGGCCGTGTCTTACAGCATAAGCATCGCTATCGACATCTCAGCTCGACCCAAGAACTATATGATTGTAAAGCATGTAAAAAGAGCCGGTCTTAATCAGATCTTAGCTTTTTGTTTTTCAGTTTAAGAGAATACAAGTAATCTTTAAAACTGATGCACGTCTACCCCCACTGAACAGAAGACCAGCATCGTAGCATACCATTTCCGATTAACCGTTAATCGCTCACCTCCAAAACTCCTCCATTTGAATGGCTTCATTTTAAACAAAAGCGATCTCCTTTTAAGATCGACTATGTTCTTAATGACTACCCAGTTTGAGCGAGGAGAGAACCTCCCCAGCCAAGCCTCTAGCTTTACAAATCGTCTATTGAATTTCTTTTGTTAAATGTGAGAAGTCTTTGAATTGGTAGTTTGCTCAAGAGAAGTATTTTTTGTAGCTTCGTTATTCAGCCGATTTTTTCGTTGAATTGTGAAATGATGAACTGAGACATTAACCTCTTCGTGTATATTTTTCGTTTATTTTTCCTGCTTTTCCTAACTTGGAAAATTGACAGTTTTCGCAAGCCGGTCACTACATTCCTTTCTTTACACAAAGAGAGCCTTTTGTCTCCGATTGAATAGGCAGTGTTTCAACTAAATGTTGCATTTCTGGCAAAAGTATACAGTGTATCAATTTATGCGTTATACCACAGGATGCAGGAGATTGTGCCCGTTCTGTTGGTTTTTTCGCTGAGACGATCGGACCATTTTTGACAAAGTTATTCGACTTTTTCTCAGTTTTGACCGAGGGGGATTCAGGATTGCACAAAGCAGTTCAGAAAAAACAATAGGCTTGTGATTCCCCGAGTTTGTAAAGATCTCAGTTTTTGGTGATTTACTCCTAAACTAAAATAGCTATGAATTTCTAGTTTGTTTCATGAGACGGGCCGTTCGATGCTCGATTTTTTGAGCCATTCCCCGTATTTTTAGGACCAGTTTTAGCCGAGTTATTAAGGATTTTGTCTCGAAAATCGCCAAAAAACGGTTTTTTGGACTTTAAAAATCGAAAACAGCTGATAAAAATCTGCTGATACTTTCTAAAAATCGAGGCAAAAATCACCTAAATTCTGATATATAGCTTTCTCTGTTTGAAGCTCGCGTTTCTTTTTAAAATCGATTTTTCTGAAAAGGTCACTTTTCAAATTTTCTCAAATTTGCATCGCAGCGTCAAGGCCTGTCCAAACCCGTAGATGCGGTGGCGGGCGACACTTTTTACTGAAAAACGGTATTTTCTTGGAGTTTTAAAGCGGGGGTAAGCATTTAACGTGCTAAACATGCACTTTAAAGTCGCTTTTGATGCGATTTTAGCGTTATTTCTTGGTTTCAAAACATTTTGAAAAAATTTAGTACATGTCACTAGCCGCCCGTAGCCCTTCAGGCTTTAATGGAGAGAAACACATGAAAATCACTCGATTTTCCCATTTTAAGCGTTTGAGTCGATAAACAGCCGTCTACACACTCTCTTCTTGCATGTTGAATCTGTTTAATCTTTTACAAAGGGATTAATTGCAACAAAATCTTTGCAACTTCACTTTTCCTCGATATGAAGGTCTGGGAATCCCCTTCCATTGGCATATTCAGGCTTGCAAACTTTCTATTGTCTTACCGGGTTACCCTTTGGTTTTTGCCTTTCTGGGGCTTTAATATCAATATGATTGAGAGAAATAGAACATAGATGCAGTTATCTATCGACTCAAACGCTTAAAAAGCGAATATCGAGCGATTTTCGTGTGTTTCTCTCCATTAAAGCAGATCGGGCGACGGGCGGCTAGTGATATGTACTAAATTCTCTAAACTGTCACTAGCCGCCCGTCGCCCGATCTGCTTTAATGAAGAAAAACACACGAAAATCGCTCGATATTCGCTTTTTAAGCGTTTGAGTCGATAGATAACTGCATCTATGTTCTATTTCTCTCAATCATATTGATATTAAAGCCTCAGAAAGGCAAAAACCAAAGGGTAACCCGTTAAGACAATAGAAAGTTTGCAAGCCTGAATATGCCAATGGAAGGGGATTCCCAGACCTTCGTCGAGGAAAAGTGAAGTTGCAAAGATTTTTTTGCAATTAATCCCTTTGTAAAAGATTAAACAGATTCAACATGCAAGAAGAGAGTGTGTAAACGGCTGTTTATCGACTCAAACGCTTAAAATGGGAAAATCGAGTGATTTTCATGTGTTTCTCTCCATTAGAGCCTGAAGGGCTACGGGCGGCTAGTGACATGTACTAAATTTTTTCAAAATGTTTTGAAACCAAGAAATAACGCTAAAATCGCATCAAAAGCGACTTTAAAGTGCATGTTTAGCACGTTAAATGCTTACCCCCGCTTTAAAACTCCAAGAAAATACCGTTTTTCAGTAAAAAGTGTCGGCCGCCACCGCATCTACGGGTTTGTACAGGCCTTGACGCTGCGATGCAAATTTGAGAAAATTTGAAAAGTGCACTTTTCAGAAAAATCGATTTTAAAAAGAAACGCGAGCTTCAAACAGAGAAAGCTATATATCAGAATTTAGGTGATTTTTGCCTCGATTTTTAGAAAGTATCAGCAGATTTTTATCAGCTGTTTTCGATTTTTAAAGTCCAAAAAACCGTTTTTTGGCGATTTTCGAGTCAAAATCCTTAATAACTCGGCTAAAACTGGTCCTAAAAATACGGGGAATGGCTCAAAAAATCGAGCATCGAACGGCCCGTCTCATGAATTAAACTAGAAATTCATAGCTATTTTAGTTTAGGAGTAAATCACCAAAAACTGAGATCTTTACAAACTCGGGGAATCACAAGCCTATTGTTTTTTCTGAACTGCTTTGTGCAATCCTGAATCCCCCTCGGTCAAAACTGAGAAAAAGTCGAATAACTTTGTCAAAAATGGTCCGATCGTCTCAGCGAAAAAACCAACAGAACGGGCACAATCTCCTGCATCCTGTGGTATAACGCATAAATTGATACACTGTATACTTTTGCCAGAAATGCAACATTTAGTTGAAACACTGCCTATTCAATCGGAGACAAAAGGCTCTCTTTGTGTAAAGAAAGGAATGTAGTGACCGGCTTGCGAAAACTGTCAATTTTCCAAGTTAGGAAAAGCAGGAAAAATAAACGAAAAATATACACGAAGAGGTTAATGTCTCAGTTCATCATTTCACAATTCAACGAAAAAATCGGCTGAATAACGAAGCTACAAAAAATACTTCTCTTGAGCAAACTACCAATTCAAAGACTTCTCACATTTAACAAAAGAAATTCAATAGACGATTTGTAAAGCTAGAGGCTTGGCTGGGGAGGTTCTCTCCTCGCTCAAACTGGGTAGTCATTAAGAACATAGTCGATCTTAAAAGGAGATCGCTTTTGTTTAAAATGAAGCCATTCAAATGGAGGAGTTTTGGAGGTGAGCGATTAACGGTTAATCGGAAATGGTATGCTACGATGCTGGTTTTCTGTTCAGTGGGGGTAGACGTGCATCAGTTTTAAAGATTACTTGTATTCTCTTAAACTGAAAAACAAAAAGCTAAGATCTGATTAAGACCGGCTCTTTTTACATGCTTTACAATCATATAGTTCTTGGGTCGAGCTGAGATGTCGATAGCGATGCTTATGCTGTAAGACACGGCCCTACCAGATATGTGTGCTTTGATCAGGCAAACCCTCTTGAACGGAATCGTCACTTTCCAAGAAGACCTGCAAGTAGAATTTATACAACTTAGGCAATGATTGAGAGAAAAGTTTCAAGCTTATCCTGCCATTATTGTGTAGAATGAATACATTGGTTTTTGAAGGCTTTGCCTTTTCTAGCAAATGTCCCCAGTGACTTGAGAGAACAATTACGAACAGAGTACTGCCTGTGTGTATATTTCCAATAACATCGATGCATAGAAAGTAGAAAGGAGAGGAAGGCTTCTCAACTTTCAAAAGCCAGGCCATCTCTTTGCATTAATATCTTTTGGTTTCTATAGATCCCATCTGTGGGTAAGAAGAGATAGCCAAAGGGTGACAGCCCTCCCCGCCTAAAGCATCGACCATATTGGAAATCCTCAAAAATGTTGCTACTCTGTTGACAATTTTAGAAAATTTTTTTCTTTTGTATTTTCAATTTGCATTCCTGCACTACGTTCTGCTATTAAATTTAATGGTCTGTTTTTGAGGAAGGTGCCCTTAAAAAGCCTTGATTTGGACCTTCATTTCAATAAGGCAATATTATAGATTCAAATTTTCTGAAATGGTAAAAATATTCGTTGATTTTTTATCTAATATTAAAGGAAAGAGGATAAAATCAGCCTCCATTTTTCCAGGAGCTAAAAAAGTGGCTCCATTTTTCAGATTTCCCTTTTTTTCAAAAATGTTCCTATTGAAAGTTTTTTCCAACAAAGAAAGTAACCAAAGCCGAATAATGGAGAAAACACAGGAAAACCTCCAACGTGTAAAGAAGAGTAGACACCCTTCTAATCATAAAATTTTCCCGCGTCACAATTTAGCGTCGAGTATGCAAGATTTTTTGGAGGGTAGCAGGGGGGTGGGGTCTTAGTAATGATCTTGCCTGAATATTATTGCTTCATTGAGACAGGACTGCTCGTATTGGGCTTGAAAGGCCAATTGCTTTTGGGGGCTGCAGCCGTCCCTGCTGGTCATCCCTGCTTCTTTGTCTCCTACGCCAATGTCCTCACTTACAGAAAAAAAAATTGAGCTTTTCGATAAGATGCAATACTTTAGGTGTAGACTATAATCTACAATGTCTGCTTTTAAGCTGATGCCGATTGTAATTCTGAGAATTGCATAGTTGTTTCTCTCACTTTGAGTAAGGTGATAGTATTTCCAAATGACCCTTTTTTTAAAGGAATTTATTTTGAATATATTTTGTTATCTACAACTTGTGACATTAAAGGTTGAAATTTTAATCTTGCTTCTTATACAAGGTGAATATTCTCAATTAGTCCAATTTTTTGCATTTCTGCATTCTTCATTTGGTAACAGCTGCCTTTCTATCAAAAGTTTCCACAGATCATTCCTTCATCTGCAATAAAAATTCCCATATCGTTTGGGTTGTTTGACTTCAACAGATTGAAGTTTTTAAATACAGATAATGGATGATTATAAATATTTCTAGCGAGAGCAGTTCTTCTCGATACGTGATCTTACATACTAGAAAATTTGAAATTCAAGTAAGATTATTGAGAACAACCCAGAAAATTAGATATGATTATAAATGTAGGTTTAAAATGTTGACAGTATGTTGCTGTTGCCTTGGTGTGACAAAGTCATTACTCTGCAGTCCGCTACTCTGTAATTTGTTCTTATGGATGCATGCGTATGTTATGTGATATGCCTAAGTTTAAAGATTTTTAGTGAAATACCAAGATGGCAAGAAAATATAAACCACAAAACATATAAAACACAGGGAAAGGTTTATTGTATATGTTTCGTTCATCGCAAATATTAACTAGGACCTAATGAACCAGAATAAACCTACTGAAGATATAGACTCACATTGTCACCAACGTCTTGTCTAGGTCCTGTATGCTCATTGTATATTCAAAGTTTTGCCTATCAGATCCTAAATTAAAAAGCAATTCAATGCCATTTATTCACATTGTTTACCATGGTTTCTGGCTTCACATTTTTTAAAACATGAATTCATTGTAACATTCTAAATCTGTGAAGAACCACCCATAACCTCATCTCATTCTTCCAATTGTTTCTACGACAGTAGACAAAAAGTCAGAAATGATCTCTGCTAAATGTCTTTCAGGGACACAACCAATGGACAAAGACATTTCACGAGATTGTTTCATTTGCCTCGAATGCCAACGGTAAGCTTTTCACTTAGGAAAAGACAGCTCCTTCGCATTTGATATCCAGCTTGTTACACATCTGACCTGAAAAGTAGAAAAGTGTTTTAATGTCGGTGTCCTAACGAAGCAATTCGTGGGACATAGATACTGCAGACTTGTCACTTTTTATGATAGCTTGTTTAGATTTAAAGCTGATCATTGGAGAGCTTCTTTTCATCTGAATTTGAATGGCATTCAGTTGATGAGTAGCCAAAGTCCAATTTTGTCATTGTTGCCAAAGCAAGGTTTATCCTTGTGCAAGGAATTTTTTAAAACATTGGATAAAAAGTGACTCATTCACTAAAACAACTCCCAAATACTACAATGAACTGTCATAGATGGACGTTGTAAAACAAAGAGATACTACAACTAACGCCTCCAAGGCAAGTGACCTTTACAGGTGGCCTGGGCAAGAATTTAATGGGAGGATTCATGCACAACAATAGGGGACTTGCCAAGGTAAACCGCTTTGCGAAAGGACGCCGTGGAGAGTTTCTTGAAAGTCGTCATTTATTTACAACTTTGGTAAGGCAGGATGACTTTTCAAGAAAGATAAGGAGACCAACAAATTGGAAGCAGCAATACAAAGGAATAATGCTGCATTATCAACCTGAAGTTTGAGTTGCGACATTGTTTCATACATCAGAGCTCTCGGCGAAAGTTGACAGGTAACGAAGCCTTGAGCATTAAGTCTCTTCATCAGGACTGTTGTTAGCGTTTGTGTTTTGAAGAGTTTAGAACTCGAAAACTGTCCGGTTTTTGAGCTGTGGGATCAGGGTGCCAGCCACATTAAATTATGAATAGGCCTCTGTTGATGATATGCTTATCTTCCATCATCTGAGGCTTATCAACAACAGTGAAGGCTTGTGGTGTTTGGGAAGAATATTATCAAGATGATTACGCAAAAATATTTTCCATTTTAACCCAGCCTGTTTTTATAATTATACTATTATTCCTAACAGTGAAACTAGAAATGAGCAACAAAGCAAAGAGCGTAACATTCAAAGCTGGAAGAGAAGAGAGCGACACCCTTTCAAGTAGAGGCCACACAGATCGCAACAAAACTTCACCTTACACAAAGTTTATATTGACTGATTTCGATCCAGAACCATTCACTGTTTCCGACAATGGCAACAAAATTATCGGCACTGAAATCGCACTTAAAGAAGAGTTGCTACTCATCTTCAAGCGTGAGAAAGAGGCCATGGAGGCACAGTATGTCAACAAAGTGCAAGAGCTTCTTCGGGGATTCAAGAATAAGAAAGCTGAATGGGAATCTGTTGTGAAAGAGGAGCGAGAATTTCTTGAGCAGGAGCTGGAGAACGAAAAAGCAGACATTCATCGGTCATTTGCTCAGGAAATCTCAAAAATGACAAGAGATTTCGAAACAGAAAGAATTGAAATGGAAAAACAGCATGGTACAAAATTGAGTCAGCTAGAAGACAAATTTCAAGAGAAATTGAGAGAAGAACAAGATAGACATGAAAAGGAAATGAAAGAAATGAAGAAAGAAATAAAGAATGAATATGAGTTAAATATGAAGATGGCAATTGAAGAAAAACATGCTCAATGGCGACAGAAGTTGGAAAATGAAATTGACGATTTGAAACGAAAACAACAACATGAGAAAGATGACATCGAAAGAAGGTTTGAAGGTGAAAAAGAAAGGTTGGAAATCAGATATAGAAATGAGATCGTTGAAGCAGAAAGAAAGTTTGAAAAGATAAAAAATGAAATGGAAGAAAATTTTGAAAATGAAAAACGGCGAGTTCATAAGGAATGGCTGAAGAAAGTGGAAGAGCAAGAAGATGAAATATGTAGAGAGAAAAAGAAAAGGAAAGATGTTGAAGAGAAATTGCGCAGGGAAATTCAAATTGTTTCTGATATCGAGGATAAAAACAGAAGAATCATACAGCAAAAAGAAGAAGCGGAGAGGGCCTTTGCAACGGAGAAGACAAATTTACAATCACTAAATGCGATGCTCAAAAATGAGATCACACAACTCAAAGAAGAGATTGATCGATTGAAAAGAAGGCAGCCTTCTCCATCACCTGAAGCTGCCCCTTCACCAACAGTTATACTGCAAGATCAGAGACGGGAGCAACAAACACAGCAGTCTTTCAATTCAAGGGCAGACTTGCCACCAAATCTGCGAGATGACTTTGATCGACTTTTGAATGAATACAAAGAAAACCTGAAATCTAAATACAAGAAAGAGAAAGAATTGGTGGAAGATAAAATGGAAAATGAAAGAAAAAGAGTCAAGGATGATTTTGTCAGGGAGAAATCTGAATTGGAAAAGAGGTTAACATTAGAGAGGTAAGAACAAAATATTTTCTTTCCACTTGCTTGCTCATATGTCAATTTCGCACTGACCAAATGCAATAGCTAAACTGCGTTGATAAAGCTGCTAGAAGTCTAGAAGTTAATGTTGTAACACTATGGTGACAGCAATTTTAGATTGACGTAGAGCATGAAAACAAATTTTATTAGGAAATGTTTGAATACACATGGATGTCAAGTAATTTCATATTTTTAATATTTATGCAGAGAGAAGCTGGAGAAAGAGATGAATAAAACGCGGGAAGAAATGGAAAAGGACATCGAAAGAAAATTGAAAACAAAACAGCTTCAAGATTCACTTGCTGTACAGCAACAGAAATTTGATGAGGCAACACGGCGTCTTGAAGATGAAGAGAGAAAAAGGAGGCTAGAGTATGGAAAGGAGGCTGAGCTGGATAAAATTTCAAGCTTGTTTAGCGAAGTAAAAAGAGAAAATGAAGGTCTTAAAATGAAAATATCTGCTTTAGTGGAAAACAACAATTTGTTAAAGCAAATGAAACAAGAGAGTCAGGGAGAAATCGACCGCCTAAGAAGGACAATGGAGGATCTGCGTACTACAATTATAGAAAAATCACAGAGAGAGCCCGCTGCTGCCCCGCAACCACCACCTCCACCGCAACGACCTGAATACCCGATAATAATGCCCATCACGTTACCAGAAACAAGACGCGATCCAACACCTGTTCCTCCTGCACAGCCAGTTCCCTCTCCGCAACCACCAGTCACTGTAAATGTGCAGCAACCACAACAGAATGAGAGGGAGAGAGTATCAGCAAAAAGTGATGAGTTTGAAGGGGAAAAGAGAAGACTGGACGAGCTGCGAAGAGGACTTGAAAAGCAGGAGAGGGTACGTAACTCTTAGCAGAAAATTCCAGCAAAGAGGCTCGTAGCCGGAATAACATACTTTCAAGACAGCATTTGAAAAAGAGTTGATCTATTCCAACCTTTCAAAATGCTTAATTGGATTATTGCACAGACTCTCGTGTCACCTTTCAACGTCTTTTACTCCATAGACCTTTCTGATTTCTGTTTGACTGCAACAATGACTACTCTAGAGTTAGAAGTGACAGAAACGCGTGGCAAATAATCATGTGGTTCTTCTTTGCAAGTCACAATAAACTTGGCTGTAGCTGTTAGCTATAACATTTTAAAGTAAATTAAACCATGCTTTCTAACCACTGAAAGCTATTGAGAGAAAGATTAGCTCAATCGAGATTTGATTTCTTTTTCACAGGAATTGCGAGAGCAGCAGAATATAGAAAACGCAGCTCGAATCGCAGTGGAAAGAGTACGTATTTTGTTGTAGTTTGAAACAGTCTAAATAAACAATTGATTCTGCCTCAGGGTATGTTCAAATGTTAAAGCTTTACAATTAATGAATGATCTTGAAAATGGATTTTATTGAGACAATTGATGTCAGACTGAGACGTGTCAAACCCAGATTACTTCATGAAAGAGTTAGATGTTAGTTTGTGACAAAAATTAGAATAAAGATCAAATTAAGTTAGATTGTGGCTATATTTTTGTCTTTCTACGTCGCATTATAATATGATTAGACAAGAAAAGCTTTTAGTATTTGCAAAAGTATTGCATGTTGTAAAATCAGGCAGACAGTGACATTTGAGTGACAAAATGGGTTCATCTGGCGAGCTTTTTGTTCCTTTGCAGTCTCAGTCCCGCTATGACTCACTGACGGATGACAAAAGACGCCTTGAAGAATCACTAAAGAATCTTGAGCAGAGAGTGATTGCAATGCAGCATGATATGGTCACGTTAAAAGAGAAGAAAGAACAACCAATCACGATCAATCACCCATCGGTAGGTCACTTAAACACATAATCAAGTTCTAAATCTACTAACCAATCGGTTAATCAGTCGACAATCACATAGCATCATTGATCCAAATCGTTTTTTCTTTTTCACTGACAGCCACCACAACAGCCTCTAGCTCCTCCTCCACAGCCGCAACCAAACACACCAACGCAGACAATCCACATTCCAATTCCAACTTTCATTCCCATTCAGCAACCTGCTTCTCCAACACCGGCTGCGCAGCCACCACCATCACCGACTCCTGTTGCTCCACAGCATAACGTGCAAGATCTAAAAGACAAGATTAAAACGCTTAAAAAAGAGAAGGAAGATCTGACACAGAAACTGCAAATGACACAGAGTGATCTTAGAGATGCAACAAGAGAAAACAACATGCTTCAAAAGCAGATCACGGATTTGGAGAAAATCCTTGACAAGTTAAATGATAAACTGGAGCAGGAAAACAACAATTTGCAAAAAACGAAAGAGCAGCTTGATGATGAAAAGCAAAAAGGAAGGAGAGCCGAAGATCAACTTGAAGGAGAGAAGAGAAAGGTGGGGAATATTTGTTTATTAAAAAAAGGAAATTATTTGAAATTTAGTATATAGCGTGTTATCAATTTAATAGGAATGTCGATTACAACACGCCCCTTTCGACTTAACAGTCAATGGATACAGGATCATTTTAACCCTCATTCAGAACTTTGACTAATATAGCTGTTAAAAAGGATTTGTGTCTTATCCTGTTTTTACTGTGGACCTATATTAAAACTTCTATTAATGCGGATAAAGTACAAAGATGGATAGAGAGAAAAATTTAGTCTAAGGGAAATTGGAATAGATGGGGGTGTAAATCAATCTACAGAAAACGCTTTAATGAATGAAAATTGTCAAGTGTCCAATTTATGGCTTTCATAAGATTATACAGGATTTTGAAATCACTGAATTTCAAACTACAGATTTTGATGTCCCTATTTCTCTTCATTTTAAAGAAAAGACGCAGAGAACTTATAAGCTTCTTTACAAAGTTCTTGTTTTAGATTTTTAGCAGGAAAGTTGAAGTAAATAAGAGCGAAACAAATTGATTATTAAGTACATGCTCCGGGCAATGTTTTTAATTGTAAAAATATTGAATAGAAATCATGACTCGTGAAATCATTATTAGTGACAGTTGTATTTTGATTGTCATCTTTGAGTTTAACCACAAGGTTAATCGATGATTTGAACCTTATTCTAATACAAAACATTACAAAATGTGCTTGCATTGCATTGAATAAACTTTGCACTGCCTTAGTACTACATCTCAATTTAAAAGTACAACTTCATCCAAAGGAACTGTTTCAAGTTTCTTGCAAAGTGTTGAAAAGTCTTTTATGGTCTGATATGGCCTAAATCTTTTTAATTGTTTGCTATATGTCATAAACCCATTAAAAAAAATTCCCCTATGATTGTATTCTGGTTATAGACTTAGGATAAGAAATTCACCCATAATTAGATCTTTGTTTAATAAAGAAACAGTCTTAGAATGATTGTAAAATGTTTACAGACAGAAGACCTAAAGAAAGAGCTTGGGGACAAAACACAGCGGTACGAGAAGGAAATGAGAGAACTGCAAGACAAACTGGACCACGCTGGCAAAGTTATAGCAACACTGGAAAGCAGTCAGTACGCAGATAATCAAATATGTAGGTATTCATGTGTATGTAAGTTTCTGCTGAATATGTTTAAAGAATAAAGACAAATGGAGCACTATCAATCAATATCGGTTTTGATCACCAAGTAAATGCTTGCAACTGGCTTTTTAAATATATCTTAACTGTGTCGATATTTTTACGTTATTATGTGGCAGAACAAAAACATGACACTAACAAGCCCTTATATCAGTGCAAAATGTCTTGGTTTCTTCGTTATTGAGCAATTCGTGGCTTTTGTCAATAGAACATTTTTCTAGAAATACGGAATGATTCTTCTGCAGCGAATCAGTCTGTTGTGTTGCTAAAAGAATCTGCAATTTAAGGCGCTGGTCAGAACTTTCTTTATGGCAATAACACTAAGCGACTGGAAGAGAGAATCAAATACCCCGGTTCCTTCTTTATTAGAGATAAAACTTGGTAAAAGAAGGAATATGGAATCCAATAGTGTTATTTATGGCTTTAGGGGCCGGACGAGTCATGATGTAATTGTAAATGGGTCTGGGGTTCCAGTGAAACAAACATTGCATGTTTAGGAGATGCAAGGTGCACTGACATAGCTTTAATAAATGACAAAAGTTAAAGCATTGGTAATTTTTAGATCAAAATGGAACAGCCAATCAAGAGCAGCAGCTAAGTTCTTCGAAACAAAAGCATCAGAAGCAACGAAAAGCATCCCGTCAACCGGTTGAAGAAATGATAAATGCATCCGAATCCGTACCGTTATACGAGTCTTCCCCGGAGTGGAATTTTCCGGATGAGGAAGAGCAGCATGCTCCAATGGATGTTTTTCTAACCGAAAATGAATTCGACTATCCGGAGCCGGTTAAAGGCAATGATCAATCCCAGGATGCTTTGAAAATCAAGGAGCTTGAAGACGAAAAGCAAGATCTTCAGAAACGATTAAGTGAGGCAAAATTCGCACTGGATGACTATACATCAAAATTAGACAACCAGGTAAGAGTATAATGGAGTTTCTGTTCACTGTTATGAGAAAATGCTTAAGATAAAACTTTGACTGAGCAAAAGAACAACTTTAGTAAAAAAATATCGTCACTTCAAGATTCATCAAGTCAAGGATACAATGAAAGAAGACCAGCCATAAAAGTCAGTAAGTAAAGCAATAAAAGTCAGTAATTTTGAGTGACAGTAGAACGAACTATTTAAGATCAGGAATAACTAAAAGAGCTTGTGAATGATCATGAAATATCCGCATAACATAGAGAGTATTTGTCTTAAATCAGCTAACTTAAATCAGCAAATGATTATAAGTTTTTTATTATCAGAAAATCAAAATTCTGCTTTCAGTCGGACAGGGAAAGATATTCCACATGTTGTTACACTTTCAGGAATGATTTTTTGTCACCTATGTGTATCATGGGGCACGACTTTTTATGTGAGAACATGAACTGGTGCAGGTTCACTTACGGATTGGAAACTTAGAAAGGCACAAAAAGTACAAGGCATCTCAATCATGTTCATTTTCTAACGATCACGCTCAGTAAAAAATTTAGCAGATATTATCATGATGAATAATGTTCACTGAATATCATGCATATGAGAATTGTAGCAATGCAAAATTGCACAGAATGTGCCCTTGAAGAAAACAGAGGGCTCTTTCAAAAGTTGCACGAGGTGTTTTACAGAAGCAGTGCAACTAGTTTTGATTTTTAAGCTCGAGAAACAATTTATCTTGCAGCTAAAGACAATTGAATCTAAAGCAAATGATTCAGACAAGATGGTTCGAAAGCTGTCAATAAAAAACGCTGGATTAAGCACAACTGTGAGAAATCTAAGTGAAGAGAAGGACCGGACTGCTCAACAGAATTGGAAACTGTTGAATCAAAAGTTGCAGCTGCAGAGATTGATTGAGAGGCTGACCAGATTACAGGCGAATTGAGAGAGACCAAAATACTCAACTTTTAACACAGATTAATTTTTTAAATCTATTTCAGATTTATAAACCATGCACAAATGTTTATGTATTGATGCACTTTTTTTATTTCGCAGCGATAAAATCGGCAAAATGTATTTGTCTTAAAGAAATTTTCTTTATCATGTAGGATGTTTAGCTAGATGAAAGTTGTCAAATATTTATTGTTGAGCACTTTCTGAAGCCTGAAGAATAATAAAGCACAATTGCAAAATATCTTTGGTACATTTTATGCAGTATGATATAGATCAACATATTATAATTACCAAAAGTTTTTGATCAACTTTGCACAACGTGGAGCTCCTGTCACAATGACATCTTCAAATATGCAGCTGTTTAAGTCAACGTTCGGCTAAAAAGAAAAATGAAACGTTTACATCCTACATCTAGGATCAAAGTAAATAAAACAAAAATGGTAAATTTTGATAATCAATTTGAACTATCTGACAAGTACCAATGAAAATGCTGCTCGTATTTTGGTTACTTCAGGCACCGCGGAGAGTTGAGAAAAGTGGGGGGTCTGAAAAAATGGGGGGGCTAAAACCATATAAAAAGAAGCTTTACTGGTAGTTTATTACTTAATATTTGCCATTTTTTGCAAAAAGTTGGGGGGGGTTAAAGCCCCCTCAGCCCCCCAGCTCCATGGTGCCTGTACTTATTGCTTAAGGTTTTTGTAAACCGATGAAGGAGCAAAGCATATACACTTTTGAGCCTCGCAGCACAGATATTCAAAAATTACCGCTCACACTAGAAGCAGAAATGCTAGATAAGAAAAAATCAACTTTTGGTTGTTTCACAAATATATTTTAAAATATAGCTGTCATCAAGATTTTAAATTCAATTTGCTACTTCAATTACTAGACTCGAGACTTCTTAAATGAATAATCGCTATATCTCTATTCCCTTTGCCATACTAATTTTTTCATATATACATATGATAAAGGTACATAGGCCAACCTAAATACGATTTGCTTTTAAAAATGCATCTATAAGAATAATATACATAACGTGAAAAAACTGGGAATTATAAACAAAGGCTGAGTTACAAAGTCTAAATAAACTAATCAAAGTTTTCGATTAAAAAACATTAAAACATAACAAAGAATTAAATCAATTATTAAATAATTCGATCCTTACAGTCTTGCTGACGTAAGATTCCATCACCAAGGCTTTTGTCTCTGTCTACAAATATCCTTTCGCAGATCGTTTCTAAAACTAATAATGTTTAAAGAGAATATAATCAAGCCAATTATAGAGAGTGGGTAATTTATCAAATTATTTATTAGGTCGAAAGGAATCGAGAGACCGTGAGCTTACACGCGTTCATATTGTTACACCATGTATGAAGCGTGCACTAAGTAAATAGGCAGGAAAATTGATTTGAATGGGAAGCATAACGTCTCACATAAGGAATCAGAGAGAGCAATTTTCCCTCAAAAAAATCATTTCAGTATCACACTTGAGATTTCAATAAAGTAAGTCATTTTTTAACCACAAACGTAAAGCTACTTTCTATGATGTCATAATTTGTGATTTGCTGGATTTAATTTTAAAATCAAGAGAACGGTTTAGTAAACTAACTGATATCTTTTATAAAAAAGGTTATTTAAGGAGCCAAGCACTAGGGCAGAGGAAACAAAAAAATTAAGAAGCTTTGAGCTCTGGCTCGGAAGTTTTAAGAAAAATCACACTTTTCCCATCCTTTAGAGATCAAAATAACCCTTCTTGGTTTATTACCAGAAATTTATCCTTGTACTTCGACCAAATAATTTAACAAAAGTGTATGTTTTTGAGAAGTTTTTGAGTAATTAATGCTTTCAAGCAAAAAATTTTCTGCTGAGAATTTCCAAAATGTTACTTTTTATACATTAAAGCTTTTTAGTTTTCTACGTTGCTTATTAGAAACAAGTTTAATTAAACATTAAAACCGGCGTTCTAATAAATTTGTTAAATCTTGAAGGTGGAAATGCCTGATTTCACACAAAATCGTTTAAAAATCGTAAGAAGGCAAAAAAATTGTAAGAAAATAAAGCAATTCCATATATCCAGTGCCCAACAATTGGAAAAAATTAGCCTTCTCAAAAAGATCCGGAAGCTGCCATCAGCCCCCCCCCCCCTGTTCCAAATATCTTGAGACAGCCAGAAATTTTTTTTTAAAATAATTAACGACGTTTCGAGCATAGCCCGTTATCAAGTAAAATTGAAAAGCGATGATAGAACTAAAAAACGTTAAAGGAATATGGAATTCGACAAATGGAATAGGAAGACGGATATAAGAGCATGGAAAAGAAATATATGGAAAAAGGTAATAAAAATAAATATATACATACATATACGCAAATACAGAATTTATGTATATGTATATATATGCACACTAATATGAAGAAAAGAAAAAACAAAGCATGGGCTCCGATACAGGTTGGAAAGTGGAAGGGCCAAGATAAAATATAACAATCATAACAAAAGGTTTTAAAAAAAGCTCTATTGTTTTGCAAAAAAAGCGAGGGGGCCTTGGCCCCCCGGCTCCCCCTTCGTCGGAGGCCCTGCAAAGAAAAAGGAGAGGGAGGGAGGGAGGGGGGGGGGGGTTATTGAAAATAAGTAAACTGTGTATTAAGTCCAGAATGATATAAAGTTCCAAGTTTAAAAATGATTCGTTTTCCAGTGACTTTCTCTTTGCACAGGCACCGCGGAGCAGGGGGGGCTCGGGGGGCCATGTTTGGAAATGTTGCTATCAGGATTACTGTCGTGTTTGTTGTTGAGGTGGATTCTGTTCCTGACATTACGTAGATGCTCGCCAAACCTGTTGTTAATCTGGCGCGATGTTTCACCAAAATGCAACAAAATTATCTTAAGACAGCACCTTGATACGGCAGGTTTTTGTATTCTATTGAAAATTATCAATCTACTGAAACATTTTTTTCAGACAATATGAGCTGCATATGGCAAGCATTTGTCGAAAAGATGTTAAAATCCGGTACAATTTTCATCAACTAAAGTGTGAATTTTCTCAACTCGTCACCTTAAGGAGAATGCTGGTGACAAAATTAATTCAGTTTTTGCAAGGGTGTGATTCACTTTGAAATCAATGACCAAACTTTTGATAAGTTCGGCTACTTTTGGTGAATTATCGAACAGGTGTCCGGAAACGGTCCGGAACAGTCACAAGTCCGGAAACACAAATGAATTTTTGGTACTTGTTGTGAGACTGTTTGATACAAATGTCCTACAATAAGGCATGCTCAAAACATTTCTCTGACTAAAGGAATGCTCGTTTTGGATATCACAAAGCCAACAGATCCTCTTCTTTAATATTTTGAAGAAGTGTTTTCGAATTTTATAGTGTTTTCGTTGAAAATTTTGCATGCCAACTATTATATGATTCAAATTTTCAAAATGTTCAAAATGATGGCTGATCCATAAGAAACTTGCGTGTCCTCGTGTTTTCTTTTGAAGGAGGGCAAGAACTCCTCTAATCATGGGGCTGGCATCTCCAAACGGGAGCGGGGTTATAATTGTTGTAATTTGTTTAATATCGATAAAAATCTTTCTTTGCTCGACATAACGAAGGTTCTCCTTCGACGAATGGCCTAGCACACTCTAAAGAGAGGTATTGGCCCCCTAGCTCTAAAAATAGTGCACCCCCAGAGTGTTTGTTTTCTCCATTACATCAAATCTTGTCTACACTGAAATCTAAAACTTTTTTACATATTCAATTGAATTATATAGCTTGCAAGAATTTGCTTGTGAGGTGGTTTTCCTGGAGCTTTACTGAAGAGAAAAATGGAGGAAAAGATCTTTTATGAAGAAGGAAGGTCGACTTAAAATTTGGAGAAACCAAAGTTTATTTAACAAACTTGACTGCTCAGTTGAATCCTAGACACAAACATTGCGATAGATAGGAAGTGAAATAACAGCAGTTGAGTAACGTAAAAGTGAAACGGGGCACCAGCTGGTGACAAGCTACGATCCTATCCGACCACCCGCCCCTAATCATCACTTGATCGTTGTCTAGTTATTCCCCGCTGACGTATACAAGGTTCATAATAGGCCTAAATGAAACACAAGTTAATATTTGATGTGGTACTATATTGTAAGCCCATGACACAGCGTAGTTCAATGACAGGGACATCTCAATGGTAACAAACTGGATATCTGCAAGGCAATCAATTGCTAGACACCACATGCAAAAAATACTGGAGCTAAAAATTAAAAGGCGGCCAGAATTAGTGAATACCTGTTTGTCAGCGAAGACAGAGGCCTTTTAGGATGGATATCGGAACCAAATAACACAGCTGATCCAGGATCAGAGAGCATGTGAGCAGTTAGTCTTGCAAAGAGCAAATTAGTGCGGTTTTCACTGCGTTTTTCAGAGAGTCGCTTTTGCATCCTTTCAGAAGAATTGACAGTGAATGTTTCTGGGAGAAAGAGACAAAAAAATTTAGAACCAGTTTTCCTATAAGATCGAAAATGGGAAAGAGTGTATCCAAACAGCGTGATATTGAAAGAAAATTCACAGATGAAAGGGACAAACTCTTTAAAGAATTTTTTTGTGCGAAGAAGGAAATACAGAGGAATTTTAACAGACAAAGAGGTGAGCTAGAGAACGCTTTTCACCTAGAAATTGATAAACTGTATAAAATTCATCAAGGCCAGATAAACACAATGAAACTGCAAATGCGAGATTCACAGCTCGGGGATTTCCACGAGAGATGGCGGGGAAAACTAAACAGACATCTTAGCTGGCCTATCGATGAAAGTACACCAAAGCAGTCACATGACACATCTTTGGGTGGAAGTACCGGGTGCGGGCAAAGCGAGTCCGGACGGAGCGGGCAAACAATTGAAGAGGCCAAAACAACAGCTGATTGGCAAATTCTCGTCCAGCATTTAAAATTTGCTCTTAATAATCAAAAAGCGTTATTTGAAAATGCATTGCTAGAGGAGAAATTGAAGATGCAAAAATTGATTGAAGCCGAGCGAGCAGCAATGGAAGAAAGTGTTTTTAAACGCCTAAACCAAACACTGCAAAGTGCATTGCTGGAAAGAGAAACTTTTAGAGAAGAAAGTTCTAAATTGCAAAATATTTCAAAAACGATGATGTCAGACTGGGTGTTGATCAACGAATGCAAGAAAAGAAAGAGCACGCGTAGGAGAAGGTATGATAGTGATTCTGAGGAGGAGAACAGTGGAGACAGTGGGGTGGAGGAGAAGACAACGAACGGAGATAAACGAGGAAATTATTGGCGAATGAAATATATGGAAAGCCAGAAAAAAAACTCAAAAAGATTAACAGAGCTCGAAGAAGAATTCAAGGAAAAAGAAAAGTCCCTAATTGAAGAGCTGTCAAGAACTAAATGCTCGTTGAGGGACACTCACGCTAAAGAACTTAATGAAGTACAAACAATAGCTGCGAAGGAGCTTCAGAAGACTTTGAGGGAAGAGAGGCAGATTTGTAAGGGCGCCATCAAGGACCTGAACGAAAAATTGATATCAATGACGTCAGAAAATGAAGAATTAAAAGAAAGAATTGATGAATTATCATATTTACTTGACACAGATGTTAAAGACTTGAATGTTGAATTGGCAGAAAAATTAGCAATTCTGAACAGAATACTGTCAGATAAAGCTGTCGAATAAGTTTTAAAAAATTCTACTGTATACTTGAATGCATATGCCTATAAAGTTTTTGATAAAAGAGATTTGCTAGAAATGCAAAGCATTTTTTCTGGTAGGTTGTCGAGGGGCATAGGAGCCCAATTTTGCCGAGAACGAGAAACAGAAAATAGCTGATCCTATTATATTTTTTAAAAAGTTTTCTGCGGGTCTTTTCGACCAATGAAGTAAGTTCCAGAGCAGGGGACCCTCCGTTCCCGACCGTGACACCACTGAATATTTTCTCTGATAAGAATCCATGCCTGAAAAATATCATACAAATTATAGATTGATTTTCGTTTGCTAGCATAATTGGTCTGTAATGCAAAATTGCAAGTCTGGTCAGGAAGTTGTACAAATAACAATCGTTAATAAAGTGTTTAGTCTGGGTGATTCAAATCATTTGTCCAAAACTCAGAATAGGTTGCTAGGAAATGATCCCCAATATCGGTATCTCCTCTCATATCTTAAGCACTCATTTAAAAGTAATTTGCTTTGCTTTACTGCCACAAACGACAACAGCAAAATATTCAAGAACGATAAAGCAGTAAATGTCAGCAAGCCCAAGGCATTTAGGGGCTGCAAGTTTTATCTTTAACACCATAAGTGGGCCTCAGTCAGATATCTCTAAAACGAAACTTGCTGTGGGCGTGGCTAGTTAGAAGGGAGAAGGTAGCCAAGAAACTTAGACTAGAGCTCCATCACCACTAGTAATAAAACTTTTCGCTTGTTAAGGAATATGACAATGAAACAACACTTAATCTTTCAACAAAGAATAGCATTAAGGTTCAAAGTATCCGCGAAAACAGCTTTGTCCAGGAAAACATTTATCTTTTAATAACAAACTCCTCAAAAAGAATAAGTACTGGATAATCCGAAAATTGAAGTAAAAAATCAACAAAATATTGAAACTTGAATAAAAGCACGACTCCCGAAGCTCGCTATTTTCCATGAATGTGATACAAAACTTTCAACGAAAACACTACAAAATTCTTCAAATTAAAGGGTTACAGTCTCTCAAATTAAGTCTCTCAAATTAAAGGGTTACAAAGCTTTCAATTGAAAGGGTGGTGGTGACAAAACTTTGGAGATTGCTGAGATTGCAGTTAACAGCCAAATGAGTCTACAAGGACATGACTCACAACTGGAAACAAGCCGAGTTATTCTTGAATCTGTGAAATTACTCTAAGTTGACATTCCGGTTTTTACGAGTCGGTAAGAAAATAGGCGCGGGACACTTTATCCGGTTTGCCTCGTATTCAAATCGTGCTAAAAGCATTTATAACTAGAGACTTGACGGGTGACCCCCGGGAATAAAATCGTTTCCCAGTTATACTGAGCTCTTTTGTACTGGCTTTCAATAACCACTAAACGGGTGAAAGCCAGTATTGTGCCGGACAACCATTAATAATCGATCGGATTGCAACCTGACAACTTGTGGCGGAATTTGGACGATTGCAAATTCAGCATTCTAGCAAATAAGTTGATATAACAGTATATATATGAAAATAGCTGCTGTAAATTGTTTGTATCAACACAAGTAAAAGAGACAATTGAAAACAAGGGAAATAAGAAGAGAACGTTTTTAGAAAAGTATGAGCGAAATGAAAGGACACATCAAACCGTCAGACTTAATAATCCAGAACATTGGCGCAGTGAAGGCGAGCAAAAGCAACTGCAAGATGGAAACTCCTAAGGACGTGCTCACAGACAAAAATAACGAAGGGAAACTTCGAGGAATCGTAGAAAATCTGTATGAAAAGTTCAAGAATAAAGAGCTCGAGCTAAAGGACTTTGAGGATGTTTTGGAAGGTCTTGATTGCGATGAGAACGGAAATTTGCCAAAGCGAAAGACAAGCGAAGACTCGGAAACTGATTTGGACAGAGTTTTGCCTGTTGATTTTGAACTGGACTTTGAGAACGGAGAGATTACTGTCACTGAAACCTGTGGAAAAGAGGAGAAGGTTTGCAAAGTCGAAGAGAAAGACCCTAGAAGAGAAAGCAAAGGAAAAACATCAAAATTGTCCGAGGAGAGGCAGATTAATAAACAAATGAAACTATTAATGGGAACTTTTGAACAGGAAAAGAAGAATCTTCTGCGCAAAGTCGAGCTGGAAAAGGAACTTATTGCGAAAAAGGTTGCAGACGATTACGAAAGAAAATTGAAAGTAGAGAAAGACTTTCTGGGTGCGATCATTGCTGATCTTGTCAAAAGCGTGGAGGATGCCCGAAGCCAAGTGGAAGAGTTGAAGATGATTCGGGAACACGATAGAATGACATTGCAAAAGTTTTTCAAGAGAAAGCTGGCTGATGAAAGAAAAAAGTTAATGCTTGAGGTTGTAGCGAAGCAGGGCAGAGCTTGACGAGAATACCTCCGATCGCACGTTTGTTATCTGTAAGTTATCAACTCACGATTTCATTTTACTTATGAAGATAAAGAAGAGTCGTGCGGTTCGACATCTTCATGTCTTCATTGTAGCGATTTTGGAAGGCAGCGTTTCTAAGACAACTGGAGGTCGCAAAACCTTACTGTATTGAACGCTGTGAAAGCGAGCTGCCAAAACGATTTTAAATAGAGACAAGAGACATAGAGACATGGCTAAAATTGCAACAAAATGGTTTGTTGGATAGTGCAGATTCGACTAACTTTCGAGAGAAACAGTTTTAATCGTGCTTGTTATCGATCTATCCGACACAATGTCTTTGAAATCAGTTGGCCACGAAAATATTTTCAAACCAAAACAAACTAGTACGAAACACACCTACGCTGGGAACACGTGAGCAAATGAATGAAACGAAGGTTGTAGAAAAATTGCGTCATAGGGAGCGAGACGGATGCCTTATCAATGGCACGTAAAAAATTCTTGCTTTTCTTCGGATTTACGTAAGTAATCAAATAAAGTAAACAAAATCATCAACTGGTGATTGTTCGGTATTTATGTTTTTCTTAGTAAACAAAACAAATCATTATCGAGTCTTGGAACGTTTGTTTGTCTCGCGCCAGGAACGGGGGTCGGTATTCTTTGATACTTCCATGCCGAATCGTTCGAGCACCTGCGCAGTGGCTTCATGTCTGCGTTGCTGTGCACAAAGCAACGTGCGACATGGCGCAAAGACCAATCTTTTGTAGCCCGTTCCTACTATATTTACTAAATAAGCTTTAAAGAAAATTCTTGGGACCCAAATAAAAGTTCATATTTAAATTTCTATTTATACAGATTGCTCGCAACACAAAGAGTAGAAATTCCAATCCTGTAAAAGGGGGTCAACAAAAATTTGTTCTGTTTGTTTTTGGCTGACAAAATGCATACAAAATTTTAATGATGTGTTTGAAAATATCCAGAATGTAATTTGCATAAATAAATACTTGACAATTGCCAAATGTTGCCAGTGACGATGTTTTGTTTATTGTTGTCGTAACTTTCTTCATATCTGTATATTTCACATAAGACCGTTTGTATATAAGAAATAAGCCTATGAAAGTTAATTTTTTTAACTCAATCCAATCGTCTCGGTAAGAATTCTTTTGTGACTATTTGTAAATAGAATTCCACCATTGTAAAATGCCTTGCTCAATCGAATCTTTCTGGCGCCCACGTGCTTCCAATCAACGAATCGTGTATTGATGAAATTAAAATTCAGTTTTAGTGTTGTGATTTAGAGTAGCTTTTAGTAAATGATTTTGTTATCCATAAACACTGATTATAAGTTCCTTGGGTCGTTTTCTCTTTTTGTCGGAGATATTGTATGTTGCTATGGGATGGGGTGGGCATGAAACCCCCCATGGAAAAATGCGTTTTAAAACGAAGAATTTTTGCTATGTAGGGTACTTCGTCAGGAAATTTGCAAACTTTTCGGCAAATCCCCCCGCCCCCCTCCTTGAGCTTGTCACTTTAGGCATAGGCCTACTTATTGCCGGTAAGGTATGTTTGGATGACTGAAGCCTTCACAGTAAATTATTTTTCCAATTTGAATGTAAAAAGTTTTTGAATTGAAATGCAGCACAATTTGGTGGATGGACAGAATTTCAAGCTCGTGAAATTGGCTGGAAAAATAAGGATTATCTAAGCGAATGTTATTTGAGCTGCTACATCGGGCATTGCCATTTTCGCATTTCGCTTGAGGCGATAAGAAAATTTTGGCAGAAATAGTGTGTGGAAGCTAAACTGCGAAAGAAATCAAAAGATCGAAGGCCTTTCCTCCAACATTTTGTGTAGCAACTGGTGTTTGGCACCATACGCTGCTTTTAGGCCACAAAAGCTGTATGAAATGCAGGTAAGACTGAAATTCAACTCAATCATAATAAGCTTGAATTTTGATCATATGACGAAATCATTTCAACTCCAGTGTAGAATAATTCTCTTTAAAACGACAATAGTAACAAAGTCAGATCTTTTTGAAGACCAAGATCACAATAACATGGAGCTACTGTGAGCTGCTTGGTATGGCAGCAGGAAAGAAAGGATCATTTGCTCTGTATCGCCAGTTAGGCAAGCAACTATTTGGGGGGTGAAGTTGGGGGTGTAGTCTGATTGGAGACCTCTAGCTTGCTAACTCGGGATCGTCCCAGTTTTGCACTTTTTCCTTAAGGAGTTTTTGAACCTTTGCAAGCATAGAGAAGCAAACGTGAATTTAACTGTTTCTAGGTTAATTTACTTTAACCTAGAAAACGATCTTTAAGAAAACTGTTCAAAATATTTACTTTTTGCAATCATCTTTACTAGGGCAGATCTCACGAAAAGCTTCACACACAAGGAAAAGGCTGCAACTTTGCTTAATCAGAAGACTGGGGCAAGGTTTTGTTCCTGACCAGCTTTACGTTGTCATTTAGTTTAGGAACCAGTTGATTATTCATGACGAAAATGATTTGAATTGTCCGTCATAATTTAGTAACACGTTCTGAATAACCATGGCTGTCTTTTTGATGAATATTTCATTTTCACACGACTATAATTCATCTTTAAAAGAGAAAGACAGAAATAGAGATTGCAGTTATTTACCTAAAAATAAACATTCTACTTTTCTTCAATTAAAGAAAAAATATGAACTTACATGTCATGTTTCACGGCCATCATCCAGCTTAGGCCCAACCTTTTCACTCCTCAATTCAGCTCATTGCCACACTCAAAACATTTTTATGTCGATTTTGAATAAAACCCTCAACTTTAGCAATATACCGGTCGATCTTATCCTTGAAGGAAAGTGCTTAGGCCCATACTTGCACGTGTTCGTTGTTTTACTGCGGATTTACAAGTACCTTCGATGCTCTTTGTTCCGAAGACAGAAGACGAAGCTCCCTTGAGAACTGACATCCAATAACACTTGAATCACAAGCGTCACTTGAATGAAGAAGACTATTGTGGATGGACTGAGAGATCTAGTGCGTTTATCCACAACAAAATTAAACACTGTGATTTTGAAGTATTACTGTCTTGGACTTAGGAACCAGGGGGGGGGGACAGAGGGTACTTGCCCCCACTTTTACGAAACAAGAGTAACTTTTTGCAGCTTACAGACTTCTTTGCCTACATGTATCCCCCATTTTGGAATGCTTCCTACGTCTTTCACCATTATTATTATTTTGACATAAAAGACATAAAAGTGAGGCAGAACCAGAGCAAACGGGTTTTTTCTAGACCCCAGACCCTTTAAGCGAATCGTTATGGCAACAGTAAAGTGAAAGCAAAACGCCAAAAAATTCGAAAAAATGCTTATAACCAACGATATGATTTTACAAAAAGGTTCTATTCTGCGAAAACCTGCGAACATCTACGAAAACATTAGTAACAAGAAAATGTGAACGGGAAAATGCTTTTGCTTTCCATAGGAAGTGCCTTTGCCATAAAAACACAATGCGAAAATGTGGTATGACGTTTACGTAGTTTTTGGATATTGATTCTTAGAATGGTCATTCATTTCCGTGTCTCTTTGTTCCTGTTTGGTATTTTTTGTTTATTTTATCTCCGCATTCTTAGACGCCCCCCTCTCTCGCTGACGTCAGATAATTCTAAATTTGTGTAAGCCTGGCGGTACTTTATCAGAATGGGTTTTTGGCGTCATTTATAAGAGGACGCTTAGTGCAAATGTGATAGAGCAGGGAGTAAATCCATGAATAGAATAGAACGAAGAGCGGGAACAATAGTATGAAAGCAAATTAAGCTGTTTGACGTCATCGGTCCCAGCTCCCTACAGCGCTTCAGGCGAAAGAGGGCTGTAGCGAATGCAATAAAAAAGTTGTGCAAAAGTGCTTGTGATTCTCGTACAGGATTTCAATCAAACGTCACCTACAGGTAGGCTCGTCCAATTATATATACTTTCAAGACAGCTTACAAGTGAATGAAAAAGACGTAGGACACCTCTATGCCACTTCTGATCTCTTTTTCACGGCAGTCATTCTCACAGGCTGGAGACGGCAGTCAATCGGAATGAGATTGGGCTGTTTGTTTAACGTGATATAAATCTTTGACAGCAGTTAGATCATAACTCGCAAAGAATCTTAATGCAAGCGCTAACTTCATTCAAACCTGCCATATGATCTCTCTTAGTTTTCCATTTAATATTCATAGACATACTTGACTATGCAAACAGCTGGTGTATTAGGCTTCACATCAGACTCTGGAATACTGGATCTTATTAATTTTATATTATTGACAAGCACACAAATTTGCGATTATACTGTTAGATAGATAGATTATACAGTTTTTGACAATTTCGGGGAGATAAATTATCTTTCAAGCCTAGATCCTGTGGAAAAGAATGTTCAAAATATGAATGGCAAAGACGTGACAAACTGATCAACGCTCACACTGATTGAAGGCCTAAATAAAGGCACGGGTGAAAACTAACCGTTGCAAGGGGTTTCCTTTGATTCGCCATCACACCTAAAGGCACCGCGGAGAAGGGGGGCTTGGGGGGCAATAGCCAAAAAATTTATCAATGAATCACCAGTCAAACCAAATTTTTTCGGTTTTAGCCCCCCTCACTATTTTTAGACCCCCCACTTTTCTCAACGCTCCGCGGTGCCTGATCTTTAGAGCTAGGGAGATTTTTAGCGAGAGTGAGAACAAATCTTTCGAGAAGTATACACTCTTTTATAATGTTTCAATTACAACTACAATTCCACTACGGACATTCTAATAATTTCTAAAGAAAATTTTCAATTTTTATTTACATTCGAAGGCGTTCATTAAATGACATGAATGAATAGTTACATTTCATGCATAATAATTTACTATAGGGAGTTTTCGGCAATATCCTTAAACATCGAACGAGCAAAACACAGATTACAGGTTTAATGGTACAGTGGTGCAGAAAGTGAACTTCAATAAAGTGGGGGCTTGAATAAATATGACAAAGTAAAACTCGTGAATAAACAATGGTAATTCCATCACTGCAATAATATTTATTTTTCTTTTTTCTAGGATTAGATATCGCATTTTTCGTTCATGCATCCTTTGAGATATACCAGAGCAAAATTGTACCTTGTTTTCCCACGCAATTCTGTTTTTCTATGACATGATAAAGATAGTTGTATCGGTGTGCAGAGTCAGGAAAACATTACGGTCGCACAGCCACTGACCGGAGGAAGGTCCACGAAAAACAATAGAAGCTCCAAGGATACACCCAAGCCACGCCCATTTTCTATTGTTTTGTGAGGAAGGTTTGCCTTCTGGGATGTTTTTGTCTGGAGGGAGGTTAACAACTTTTTTGGAATCTGTCGGTGTGTTCAGGACTTTTAGAACAAGTTTATTTTGCCATTGACGATTAAGTTTAGAAATTTTCCACTTTCAACGTCTTAAAACAGAGTCGTTAATTCAACATGTACCCAGACGATGGGAAATCACAAATAAACACAAACAAGACAAATAAACAAAGTATAACAATTCAACATTTAATTAATGAGACCAAAAGCTTTCTTTTGAAGGAGTTTGCCAATAACGCCACTCATGCTACAACCATTCACCACTTTTTGCTCCCTCAAGCATCTTTTCTGGCGTTGCTGACCTCTAGTTCTTCAAGACATTGTTGATTTACAGGTACCTGCAATAATGTGTTATTTACTGATTTGGTTTGCCACGTGGTTTAGGCCAGTTTCTCGAATCATTTTATTCATAACAGTATCAGACAAAGATTTTCTTAACAATTCTCTTTCCTTCATATACTTGGAACGAATTTCCACTTTCTCCTTTTCAGTCTCAAGCTTCAGCCGATCGATTTCCACGCAATAATTCCGGTCCATTCGTTCTCTTTCATACCTTAGAATATCAATTTCTCGCTCGTATTCTTTTATCGTTTCTTGCCAAACGTCAACTTCACTCTTAATTCTTTCTTCGTATTCTCGATCTAGCTTTTTCTTGTACTCTAAGCAATTATTTTTAATCTCTTCTTCCAGATGTTTTTTTTCTTTCATAAATATTTCAGTTAATTCTTTTTTCTGCTGCCTAAAAACCTCTCCCACTTGGTAAAGTTCATCTTCCCCTGCATCTTGTTTACTTTTGACCCTGTTCTTACCCTCAGAGGTACCTCTCGAGGTAAACAAGGTGCCAACCTTTTCCAATTTAATTTTTGGTATTCCGTTTTCAGCAAAAATCTCTTTTAACCAAGTAGCACAAGATTCTTTGATAGTATTCTCACACAAATCATTTTCTAATTTTTTACATGCTGATGGTTCGTATCTCTTCAACTCCTTGATTAGGCGTGTTAAAATTCTTCGCAGTTCCTCCTCTACTCGAGCCATAAGGTCCATCTGTTCTTGTACAGACTGTTTAAGAGTCTGGCGCTCCCTTTCGAAAATTTCTCGCTGCGATGTTTCTCTAGTGCTATATTGCTCCTTGCATTTTGCCTCAATATCGTTCATCTTACAATCCATTATTTTGGTCAGTTTATCAATCTCCGCCCGGTAGTCCTTGATTTCGTTCTCATATGCTCGCTTGAGCGATTCCTTCTCTCTGTTGAATTTCGCTTTCATTTCCTCCTTTTCTCGCTCGAATTCTTCAATAAGCGATACATGCTTCAACAGCATAGCACGGTGCGTATCTTCGGCTTCATCTTCTCCTAGAAAGGCATTATTTTCTGAGAAGCTATCGAAATACAACTTTAACTTCCCATATATTTCATCATCACACTGTGTTGCACGCGACTTGTATTCCATTTTATATTTGCTTCACCACATATGTTAATTCTCATCAACCAATAACCAAGTTTACTTCTCTGTATTACTTCGATTCCCACGTTTATTATTAGGACTCGTGTGACTCGGTCTTTGAATTTCTCATCCTTCGTTTAAGTTCTGCTTTCAGAGTTTAATTTGTTGCGTAAACGAATAACAATGACCGACTCGCAGCATACACTAACATTTGCTTTTCTCTTTGCATTTACAATCTAAGCAATACAGCTTCACGCCCTTTGATCCCATCACATTTGAGGTAGACACAAGTAGGCCCTTCTCCTTTCTCAGTGATCGAACAACACCAGCACGTGTTACAATACTTTAAAACAAAAGCCAGATCTTTGGTTTCCCAGTCGTTCTTTGTCTTTAAAAATAAAAGTGACTTTACAATTACCTTAAGCGAAGCGTGTCTAAATAGATGTAGCGCTGTCGAGGCTATACCTACATTGCAAAAGGTGAAGCAGAGACCTATAAAGGGACTGTCTCGTCAGAATAAGTCAAAAGATTATCGCAAATCGCCCAATCAGACACTTCACAATCGATCACGTGCACAACGACAAGTATCGAGCCCTTCCTCGATTCACCTGTTAAAATTAAGCAGCGAAATCCATTGTACTGCGAAATCAATGTTGAGATAATGACAAGGGAGAATGTTGATAGCGGTGATGACGATGGTGATTCGAGACGATAGGTTGTGATTGATAATCATGATAATGATCATGCTTATTGATGAGTGATGATGATCATCATCATGATTAATAGTATGATCGAAAACTGTCTTACCAAATATATGATAATTGATGTCAGCGACCCTGAATATCAAATGATAACTTTCTGGCGTACAATAAATGCACGATGTTCAGAGGTGTAACAGCAGATGCATGTCGAGGGCAAGAATGTAGTGCAATCAAAACAACAAAATTATGCATAAAACAAGAGCAATATTGGCTACTTTACAGTATTAATAAGGGGGCTCTGACCTACTTCTCTGGTCGAGGGGAAAGCAGCACAGGAATAATGGGTCACAGCGATGTGATAAAGGAGCACATCAATCATGGGGCATGGGAAGTTTAATCTAAAGGCCACTACTTTTGTCCGGGTGGCCTCTTACAATTAGAGAGATCTGTTGGTTAGTAGTTTTATGTCGAATGAAATCCCGCCAGGGGCGGATCCAGAGCAAACTTGAAGGAGGGGCAGTTGGTAGTGATGGCGCTGAAAAATTTTAAAGAATTGTCGACGAGAGTACGCTGTATACAACAATTTCAGATCTATTTTTTGGAATAAACAACATAACTGTTGAAGTAATCCTTGAAGCAAATTAACCTATTGGTCTCAGAAATATTTTCACCTGATTCGCATTCTTCAAAAAGGGCGCACAATCTCTAAAAAAGGGACGCCACACTTGCTGCAACTCGTCGAGGAAGGGGCAACTGCCCCTAGTTGCCCCCCCTTAACTCCGCCACTGAGTCCCGCTGCTATTTAAAGCGCCTGATTTGATAAAAGAAGTACAAGTTTGCAAAGCTAAGCTAACAAAGCACAATGCATGAAAAGTTAAATAAAACCAGCTTTAGGGATGGCCAGGAAGAAGGATACATTCGATCTATGACTGTAAAGATTAAAAAGGTATTAACAACAAACCAGAACAACTAACCTAGAAACACCTCAACGGTAAAAAAGCTCCCCAAAGAATGAAAAAACTTCGAGTTAGCAATAAGGAGCAATAGATTAGTCAGAGCTTGGTGCATATTTCAGGCCAGTTTTTATCTCAAGGAGGAGCACTTCGTCCATAAAATTGGCACGCATCGAACTTGGCAAAGAAGTGGTTGCACGTGCACCCAGTCCCCCGGCTTCTTGGCCATTGACAATTTTGTCATACAGTGACAAAGAAAACTTTATAAATGCAATTTTGAAAAAGGGTAATATTGAACCATTCAAAACATTTTTGCCCACAAAACATTTAATATAACAAGATATTAAAGACTTGCAATTATGAAGCAAAACAAGTCACTTGATTTACACAGCATATTTAATTGATCTTTTCGAAGAAATACTTTAATTTTACAGGGAGATAAAGGGGGGGGGGCTTATCTCAACGACAGGATGCTGGGGGTATTAGGATGATGCGCTCACAAGGAAGCTTATAAAAAGATCTCAACCAACAAAATTGAAACTCGTCATTCTGAACAAGTGAGGAATTGTAAAAAGATTTTTCCGTCACATAACAAGTTTCAAAAGAATCATTTTTCATGAAAACATTATTTGCATGTCAAACGCAAAGTTTAAAATGTTTTAGTAAAAATTCTAAGGTGACAAATGAGGTTTTGGCTCAATAAAATTGTTTTGCAGCTCAATGGAAGAAATTTATGTCGGTGTTTGGCTTGTTGCTAAAATATAAGTATGGAAATCCTGTCAGCCGGCGAATAAGCTCCAGGTAAAGAAAAGACAGTTTTAGTGACCTATGAAGGCTTTTATTGTTATGTTGAAGGGGGGCTGCCTATCACTTGATAATAAGCATAGGCAACTCATATGACACGATCCAGCTGGAATGGGGCAATCGGACATTTTAAAAATATTATAAAACTGCATTCAAGTTTACTTCAGCAACACTTAAATAAACTTAAAATTGATCAGATAAAGTTACAGTTTAACTGATAAAAATTTCTTTATGAAACATCATAACAAAATAGAAAGTATTTCACAAACCCAAAAAGTATAGTTTGAATTCACGTAACAAATTATTTTCTCGATGAAACAGTTCCACAGATGAGTCGAGGCGCTGCGAGTGTGTCCCCAATTGATGGCATAGTTGAGAGCCTTTGATCCTTCGCAGAGATTTATAGGGAGTTTGCCTCGGTAACTTTCTCGACAAACCACTGTAAGAATGAACATGTGATCAGAGCTTGGATGTAGTTTTTTTTATCAAAAAGCACCTGGTTCAAAGGTAGGTAGCAACATTCTTTTTAGAAACAAATCACAAAAAGGTATTAAGTATATCAATATCATTTACCAAAATAATTTTTCGAAATCATTGACAGGTTTGAAATTACAATGAAAATTTATAAAAGCTACAAATACAAGTATCCATGAGTTTCCTTTGTATGATGAATATTTTAACCTTCATCAGAAATTCGGATTGCAGATCTTCTGCTTGGTATTGTTTTTTGCCTCTATATAAACCGTTGAAACAACTTGTTGCCACTGATATCTTAGAATAAAAATTGCAAGGCCAAAAGGACCATATTTGTGCTCACTGACAGAAAAAGCCTTGTAATTAAGGCAAAAAGGACCATATTTGTGCTCACTGACAGAAAAAGCCTTGTAATTAAGGCCAAAAGGACCATATTTGTTTTTGCTGTCAGAAAAAGCCTTGTGATTAAGGTCAAAAGGACCATATTTGTTTTTGCTGTCAGAAAAAGCATTGTAATTAAGGTCAAAAGGACCATATTTGTTTTTGCTGTCAGAAAAAGCCTTGTAATTAAGGTCAAAAGGACCATATTTGTTTTTGCTGTCAGAAAAAGCCTTGTAATTAAGGTCAAAAGGACCATATTTGTTTTTGCTGTCAGAAAAAGCCTTGTAATTAAGGTCAAAAGGACCATATTTGTTTTTGCTGTCAGAAAAAGCATTGTAATTAAGGTCAAAAGGACCATATTTGTTTTTGCTGTCAGAAAAAGCCTTGTGATTAAGGTCAAAAGGACCATATTTGTTTTTGCTGTCAGAAAACAGCCCTAGGTCGCGAAAAGTCTCATAACTGAAAACAGATAATATCTAGTGATGACTTAAATGACCTTTTTTGAAAAGAATATGTTACCTTGGCAACACTCTCGCTTTGCAGAGTTACACTTCGTTCCGCTATCTCCTTTGAGAACATCGATCTTTTTCCATCCTGAAACACAACATAAAAATTCTTCAGTTTGGACGCTCAATGTTTTATTATTCATCCAAGTCAAAAAGAGCATATTCACCCTACAACGGTAACATTGTCAGATCACTTGGCTATCTTAGCCTAATGGGGGAGGGGGGAGGCGGAGGCGGAAGGGGGGCAATCGCCAATCCCATCCAGGTGATACTACGTTGTTCAAGGAAGTAGACGAAGAAGCCCATTTCTTTAACAATAACAATGGTTTGAGCCCCAAGGCGAAGTGCCTTGATGAAACAACTAGGCGATCTGCGTATTATGCCAGTCCGCCAGACAGTTTACGTCGGCTGGGTATTTCAAATCTTATAAAAAAACGATTTATTTGTTGTAAAATTCTTGGACTACAAAAGATCAATTTCAGTAATGTGATTAAAATAGTATTGCTAGATACTTTAGATATTTGAGCAGCAACAACAAAACACGCTTCAGCGAATGTTAAAAATTAAAGCCGAGAAAACAAGATTGTATTTTATATGGAGGTTGCAAAATATAAACCAAAAACAGGGGCGTTATGAAGAGACTCAACTAAATGTCCACCGTTAGACGTCTTCAACAGTCAAAAACACAGATTACATCAAGCCGATACTGAACAATTAGGAATTAAAATGGATTAAAATAGTACGACCGTGTTGTCTACTTTTGTACAAAAAACCGGGGGACAGGGTTGGATTCAATAAATAAACATGTTCCAAAATCTCGTCTTTAAAATTTGGTTATATTGAAACATTTTCTTCCCAGGATATGAAATGCCGATTTGAATCAAGTTTGACAACTTGAGAACTTTATGACTATGAATTAAACGATACTTAGAAACGTTATAAAGCTTCAAGTACATTAAGTTCCATGTTGAAGGTTCTTAGATTCTGGAAGCGCATGTCATGAAGGTTTCGAAATGTAATTACGATTTACATAACATTAACCGACTTAAGGTGGTTTGTAGTTTCATAATGGCCGTGAAAAAAAGTGTTAAGGGAAAATTAAAATATTTATCGAGACAATGATTTACATGTATTGGATAGGTCGATTGATAAAAGAGAAATGAAGGTGTCCGAGATTGTGAAAGCATAATTGCAAAACAATTATTGACAACTTTTGTATGTTCTTTTGAAATAAACAGGCACGAGAAAAACTCTTCATTAAAATACTGTCGGCATCGAAACTTTTCATAGAATAATGGAGGGTTGAAATTAGAGGCGAGAGAAACAGAAATTGTGACCAGAGACTGGAATTAGCATCTGAGAACAGCTCTTTGCTCCAGTTTGTCCCAAAATGTTTTGTCTCGTTCAAGGTACGATGATCCACTGACCCAGGTAGTCAATTGAACTCTTATCACGTGCTTATGAATAATAAACTTTATCACATTGATAAACCCAACAAGCATCATTCAGTCTAGTTGGTGCAAAGAACGAAGAATAATAATTGGTACATAATCTATTTCACACTTTGTAATCAAGAGATCAAGATCAAGAGAAGAACAAGGTACTGCTTGAAAAGTAAGGTTCAAATGTACTTCAAAACATACCTACAGGTCCACGAATGAGAAAAAACAAAACTAAGTTCTAAAAGGTTTCCTTAGGACAGCTGAGACGATTAAAGCATCGTAAATTATAAAAAAATTTTGACTTACCGATGAATGCAATGTAAATATCACTGACTTCCCTGATGATTTTGGTTCTGTTTTGAAGGACGTGAAGGGAATCTGCCATTTGCAGTCCCAGTCATCAAGCAGGTCTCCTTTTCCAATCAACAGAATTTTCCTTTAAAAATAAAACTAATCCTCTTAGAATCCCGAATAAAACTTGCACAGAAATGAAACAACTAATACATACAGACAATTTTCTAACTGGAAGATTTTTTGGATAAAACTTTTTGTCCTTCAAGAATTCCATTTTCAGCTGCCATGTTATCTTGCATAAAAGTGTTGGTAATGTAACTGGCAATATGGAAATAACGTGCAATCTAATTTGATATCTTTAACAATTTGTCAAAACTTACTTGTCGGTAACAAATAAATAAGCTTTCTGTTCAACCACAGCATGAGCGAAATAAGAATCTGTCTTGGCGAACCTCCCCTTTTCTGCTTCCTGAAATTCGATCAAAATATTTTAATAGCTACAAATCGACGGGTTTTTCAACAATTAGTAGTGAAATTTTTAAGTAATCATGAGTCAACTCATGAGCAAGAATCAACACTTTCCATGGAATATCGGGGTCTAACTGTGTTTGCAAAAAATTAAAGGTATTTTTATTTTTATATCCGGCTATGATGACCTATTTCGGCAGATTTACTTCGACTATATAAAACTAAATACTAAAATTATGAAAGAACGAAATAAACATTCTAAGAGAATTGCTTTGAGATTTTCTTATTGAGGAATTACGAAATGGTACCATTGAGGAATGGTTTACAAGTCAATAAAGTAGAACCAACACATTCAAATATCTTCCTGAGCTTATGCAAATAAAACTCTAGGTTAATCAATACTATTTTTGGTTTGCGTAGACACTTGTATCGATCTTTCAGTGTTTAAATGCAGCTTTTATGATGATGATGATGATGATGACGACGATGATGATGATGATGATGATGATGATGATGATGATGATGATGATGATTCACCTACATCAGTTCAGCTACAAAAAATATGCTAAAAGTAGGCAAACTGCGGACTGTGAAGGCATTCCTGCTTTTACACTGCCCCACCAATAACTTCGACCCAGTGAAGTGGCTGCGATCTTTTTCATCCTTCTAGCCATATTTTCCTAAATCGTCCAGTTTGAATGTAATATTATAAACTATTTAATTCATATCTGCTTACCATTAATATTTTATTCCCCTGGGCTTCATAATCAATGTACGGCCGCAATACCTAGAAGATTAATTGCTTGCTGTAAAATCTTTTTCAAACAAAGATTTGATAAAGCATATTAAGCCTAGAATATAAATATTTTAAAGAAAGATAATGACATCAAAAGAATCATAAAGAAGCCGGCGATAAGTTGGGACAGATTACTTTTAATATTAAAGTAAGCTGGCCTTCAAATGTTAAATATAAATGGACGATCAATGTCGGATTGCAATAAAATCATTTTCAAATTCATAATCTGGTACTCAATTGAAGCCATAAATATTCTGTTTCTGTTTGAACTTGACTGAATTGACAATTGGTTGGATCAACTATCATCTACGAGATAACGAAATAAGCCTCCAAATATCAGCATTCGATTTCTAAATTATCATGGATACTGCTCATTTATAATTGATCCACACTGCAAAAGTAAATTAAACACATGTTTCACAATGCTGATAACTTCTTATAACTTCTTCAAAGGTGGCAAGAAAAAAGATTAATGAAAATTCTAGACGTAGTAAGCTTGTATAGAATATTTCTTAAATTACATCAAAAGCAAATTATGTTTTCCTAGTTATCTGTCGCGAAAGCTTTTAGGGCAATGAAAAAAGGGGACAGACGGGGGATATCTGAACAAACCTTGTTGTGACGTTATGATTCTAAATTTTGATGTTGAGTGCAGTGTAGGCAAGTTTTGAAGAGATGGAACGTTTCCTTATTTCCAAAAGCAAAAACTGCCATCAAAGACTGTTTGAGTTGTGGAAAATGATGGATTTGTTAAAGTGTTCTTTAAATGAGTGTCCCGGGCATTTTCGATTTTCAAGTACACAAAGAACAGCACTGTAGTACAGGACGCCAATTTTCAAACGCCCATCACTTTAAACTACATGTGTACGGAAACCTATCTTTTAGGCAAACTTCGTCCTTTCTGTGATCTGTCATTTTCTAGCATTTCATATTTTGAGTAAAACGTGTTTCACAAACGTGTTTTTGAGTTTCACATTAGTGTGTTGTAAGTAAAACAAAGAGGCAAAATAAATTGTCTGGTCCTTTTTTTCGAAAAAAAAGCGCGTGAGAATGGCAGTAACAAGGAGGTTGCCCAGATATCTTCCTTGTGTAAAGAAACATTCCTCTTGGTTGATGACCCTGTGACAGTGGCAATTTCCTGACTCAAAAACAGGATGCTAATGTATTTGAAAAAAGCAAGCAGACGAGGCTGAGTCGAAACAACATTGCTCACCTTATCTGCGTGGAAAACGCGGGACAGTCTGAGTCGATACACTTGCTTCCTCCCACCAGCAGTACTAAATGGAATAAAATTGTAGTTGATAAAAAATAAGAAATGGTAATACCATAAAGTAGAAGAGACTTGTTTTCGATGAGTTCAATAAATGCCAAATGAAATGATCTTTTTATATCAGTGACAGGCTGTGAGCTGGATAACTGATTCACAGATCAATATTTCAAAACACTTTGGTACCAAAAAACTCAAACATCCAGCAGGACACCGGCTGTGCTACCCATTGACATAACCCTTTCCTGACTCATCATTCGCCCTTTACTAAAATCCTCTTACCAGACTTGACACCGCCCGTCCCAGTTAGATAATTTGGAAAAAGGCCCTGAAGACTTTCACAAACATCAAGCACTTAAACTCTACTTGGGCCTTTTCGGTATGGAATTTGCATTGTGGGAAATTGTAGCGCAAAGGTTCTTATGGGAATCAGGGTCTCTCCTTACCTCTTTAGCCCTTCGAAGGTACTGCTCGCCATATCTACCAGCCCCCCTGTGGGCCTTGCAACGACCCCAATCAAACCTTTTCCAACACCTTTGAAAAACCCAGCTGCACCTTCCGCCTTCGCACCTTAAACACAAGACAAATTATCAATTTTTAACTTTTGACTTGATTTAACAATTACCAAATTTAAAGAATAAACAATGGCCTTTATTTATTTCTATATTCTTGGATAGCCACTACCATATACTAGAACGGCACGCAGAGCACAGGGAATTCATAAAACTTTCTGCAATACCATACTTTGTAAATGTATAATGATTATTAGATTAATAAAATATGTCTTAGAAACTAGAAGGGTCATTTTGTTCATTAAATTAAATTTGGTGCTTATCCAGAAATGAAGTTGGTTAATATTAATTAACCTTTATATGAACATTAAACGAATAAAAGCGGCGGTGAATTGAAAAAATGCGAGAAACTTAGTGACTGAATCAATATTTAGAATTCTTAGCAGAAAGTCAAACGCTTTTTTTAAAATAAAAATTAACTTTTAATAGGCACACACATATTTAAATGCACCATTATTTCCCATTTTCTTCAAAACATTCCTTCAAAATATTCACATTGCTTAGAAGAGCTGGTGGTTTATGAAATATTCATCGTCGAATTGACGCAAGAAAGATTTTAAACCTGACTGGCTATCTTTATTAAAGAGTTAAGATATTATGGTTAGTAATTGAATTGGTAATTCACTAAAAATCATCATGATTTAGTTACCTTCAACAGGCTTTGTGACAATTCCAGTAACACCAGAAAATAGTCCCTGGGTAGAAAAAAACAAAACTAACATGGAGAAACGAGTAATTTTCGAATTGAACATTGGCCCAAGTCCCGCGATTTTTCAATGAAAGATGATTCGACACACAATGCAATGTTAAGAGGTAATAACAACTGGGTATTTTGAATAATGGCCCACCTTAACGAAACTTTTTCCTCCTTTAGCTAAACCTTGTCCAAGGTTTGTAGGTTTCTGGCTCATCTGTTGTCTTCGCTTTTGTTGATACTCGTCATCGAGGGTCAGTGCAGCCAATCCTTTCCCCACTGTCCCAGTTATCCTAGAAACAGCTCCGGCAGCGCCACCTTAAGCAAGAGAGAAAACGATGAGTTAGCCTGAAAGATGCAGAAAGCGAAATTGCAAAGTTGTTAGAGCACTTTACTGAAGGCCAGGTTTGTCCAACATTTTGGATGTCCGCTCCCCTATTCACCCTCCACAAATCTTTATCTAATGGCGATCTTCTTGATCAAGACAAGTTTTCTCCCTACTACGAAATTCTCTAACGAACGGATCATTCATTGAATAGATCTTAACTATTCGCACAAGATCATCAAGTAACAACAGATGACTGTAAGATATTTTGTTTTGTAACATCAACGAAACACGGACAGCCTTAATGGGCCTTCAGTTAAACTCGTCCGATTAAATTCAAAAAAAGAAAAGCATTTCTCCATAATAACGCCAAGTATGAAGCGACGGTTGAAAATGTGGCCATTAAAAACTACCAACCGACAGTTCCACCAACAAGACTCTTCACTCCAAGTGCCAAGCCTTGGGCGAATTCTTCTGGTCCTTGAATCAAGCCCTAAAATCAGAGACAATAAATTCTAAAGTAAGGATTCAATCAACTTTTCTGAAAGGAAAGATCGAGAAAACCTTTAGGAATCGGGGCGAACTCTGGATGAAACCCTGAAGATATGTTCTACCAAACACCTCTACTAGCATGAAAAGCCACTTTCTATGAAAATGAATAAACCACTGCTATTGTTGTTGATAGGTTAACCATCAGATGGTGTGTCTATTTATTACCTGGTAGGGTTCGTAGAAGAAGTTTTTGGCTCCAGTTGTGATGCCAGATATAAGGCCAAATGGATTTCCAAGCACGTCTAAGCCAAACACGAGCACATAGAGCTGTTTGATGGCCTACAAGTAAACAAAATATGTGTTGAGCATTGTCTTAAGTCTTCTATTTGTATTCGTGGGAAAATGTGTCAGATTGAAGACGGAATAATCGAGCCTAGATTTTGCAAAATTATTTTCTGACTGGCAAACATTTTACAGACGATAACGTGTCTTCTTATATCAAGGGTTGTACTTCAAATTCCGCAGAAAAATTGGTTAGACAAAACACGTTGAAGAAGTCCAAGTCAGTACCATAAATGGAAAACAGTTACAATCACGTTCTTGTTTGTTCCTACAAACAGGAGGGATCTTGTACCAAGATTAAAATCAGTCAAATCAGAACCACTGCCAGATAACTAGTAAAAGCCATGTGTCAAATGAAAATTTTCAAATTCCGTCGCTGAAGATTTCTATTGGCCAATTTTTAAGGAAACTGGCCCTCTAGCAAGTAGAAGATCGAAGAAGGGAGGCTAAATGGAATTACAATTTAGATAGCGGGCGTCCGAATTATTACCACACAAGCATTCAGGTTAACTGCATTTCTTGCAGCTACAAATATCAAAATAATTTAGAAAGCAATCCGAAAAGTTACTAAAACATGGTTTTGAAGAGAAAAATGATCGTCAAAAACGAATGAAGATTACCTGATGTTGGTAATGTTTCAACACAGCATCCATCAATTGCTGCTGACTCAGCAACGAAGAATCAACTTCAAAACACGCCAGTCTAAATGGGAAAGCAATTCAACTAAATAATAACAACTAGGTAGTGAGCCAAATTTTAATCTGCTCAGCGGATTTGTTCATCACTTTTCATAACTAAGCAGATTTTATCTCAAGGCAATAAATTGTCAGAGGAGCAGTATTCGAATGTGATGCAAATGATCAACTTTACTGCGTTAAATGGACAACATAAATTTCATAGAGGGAATTCCGAAAGCTCCTGCTCAAATGGAACGAACTTTTCAATAAAAATCTAACAGTTGCTTTTCTTAATATTTTCTTTGATTTCGAGTCTCATTTTGCGAAACCAAGGTTCTGGTATATATGATAGCATGGAAAGGTTTGTAGCGCGTGCCTTTGTGCTGCAACCCAATTCCTCGTGATCTTTGCATGGTAATTTGCCGTATTAGAAAATTATCGGCACAATGGCACCCACATCCCCCCCCGTCTTCCGACGGTAGTACCATGTGCAATAACTACGATGTAATTAATACAAGGATTAACTGTTCCTAATGTCCTAAATTAAAGGATCTATTCCTTTGGACAGTCGCTTGTTAGAGCATTTACAAGAGACAAACTTAAGATTCAATTGGGGTTTTGTTAAAAAACTCCTAGTCTTGCAGATATAGTCCATCAAACTTGCATATGATCGCATCAGATCCCTTAAACAAGGACAGACGTGATCGTTTTCTGGATTCAATAATTTCTAACCGGACGACCTACCGGAATTCAACATCCTGCACTTCGGTAAATGCGACACCGACACTTTGAAACAGCAGATTGATTATTGGTGCACCATGGCTTTGGTTGGCCTCTTGAAGAGCATGTCCCCCCGTCATTGAGAAGCTCACGTGAATCTGAAGGGGAAAGAAAGCAGAGTCTTGAGAAATATGACATCGATAAGCAGATGCATTGACATTCTATTCAGCATTGCATGCTATTCGGTAAATCTTCACATAAGGTTGCTACTTGCGAGGGATGAAACAGAATTATGTTTTTATAAAATAAATATTGAAAGACAAGAAGTGGCTGTACGGTTTAATACTTGCAACTCAATCGTTTCTTGATGAAACTGCTGATAGCAAAAAATAATTCAAACGTTATACATTAGATGTTTTTTCCATTATACGATCGTTTCTTATTATTATATCAAGACAAAACTAACTAGCGTCAAATACAACTAATTAGGAATCCAAAGTAACTCTGGTTACGAGCCTATGACTGCAGTAATTACAACTCAAAGAGTATAAATGATGTCATAGTTGGTACATAAATTATATCTAACAAACCTTAAGTGGGGAAAGATGCAAATAGTCAAAGAAATATCTTGTGTCCTGTTGGGCTGCTTGGAATTCTGGACTGTCGGCCAGGTCCCTGACAGCAGTTTCCATATCCCATTTGTACTGCTCAATCTAAAACGATTTTCAATAAGAAATGCTCCATTAAATCTAAAGTTGATAAGAAATGCTCAACGACGGTATAAATGTGGCATGACATAAAGAAAAAGGAAATAGCACTGAAAAATTCTTATGCTCGAGGATACGATTTTAAAAGTCTTTCTCCGTCTTTTGATTAACGAAAAATCACTCATTTGATATTCATCGCGAGATCTAAGCCACACTGTTGGTTTTCGAATCGACATTTTCAAAAGAGAAAAAGACACTTGGATACACTTATGTAAAAGACAAGGTTTGAAAATGGTTTTGAAAAAAGCAAACATTTTTCCAACATACTAAAGATTTTAGTCTGAAATTACACAGAGCATAAAACCTGAGAATCATCTAACACTACAAAGAGTATATATAAAACTTGAGAATTAGGGTCGAAATTGTCAAGCTGGAAAATATATACCCAGTTGCGGATCGAAATAGGCCAATCAGAAAAATCAGAAAGGACAAGGTTGTTCAAATTCGGACACAAAAAGTACAGCTATCAAAATATCTTCTTGCATAAAAATGATCAAAAGGGAATTTTTGATGCTGCGGATTAATTTAAAATCAAAATTAATTGCTTTCGACATTTAATTTTTTTGGTGGCCAAAAAGTCCAAATGGCTATTGAACGAGATCCTTATTTGACACAGTACTTCTGGCTGATTTTTCAACCTAAAAAGGTACCCTCAGCGCCAATATTCTCACATATTTACTTCTCTTAAGATTTTTCTAGCTTCAGACACAAATAAACCCTTAGCAAACATACCTCAGTCCCCCTTGTTTCTGCGCTTGTAAACAGATCTATTAAGGCCATTAAAAATCCTTTGTCAACACGGACATCCATTTCTTGCACAAGGACTTTGAAGTAGCTAAACAAATTCAATAGCAGTATATGCAAGCCGTGTATAGAAACGATGGTTTACAAACAAAACAAATTCAAGCATAGAGTTGAAATTTACTCAAATTTTCATCTTTAAAACAACAGACGATCAGTGAAAGAAAAGGCCGTAGAATTAGCTTAAAGGCGTTTCGTTTTCAGATAATACATCGATATGTTGGGACGGTGCTATACATCAGAAAGGAACAAAAATTGCAAACACATTATATTTTCTTTATTATCAAAAGAATATCTTTAGATGTTGTTCGCGATGTTTTAAGAAAGTGATTTGTCGATTGTAACCTTACCTGATTTCATTCACATATTGGTTCTTACTAACTTTTGTTGTCAAACTAAGTTCAAAGAATGGTTTTGGAGCATTTTCTGCTGCAATTGATTTTGGAGGCTCTACTGGGTGTAGTACGGTTGGAAATGTTGATCCTGGGATATGGCTGTCGATCTGCACAGAAGAGAATATATAAAACTTACTTGTCAAGCACTAGCCATGTACTAGGCAAGCGAAAGTGCAGATTCAAAGCAACATTTAGTATCGAAAAATCACAAGTTATACGGAAAGGTATTATCAAATTAAAATATCAGATAAAATACTCAATAAAATTATCTTAGGATATATACATTCTTAACTTATCTCTTTTGTGCAAAAATCAATGTTACAGATTGGTTGCTGCTCTACAGTGGCAACAGCAATACTTTAGGGTTTTCTCCTGGCTTAATTTTTTGCAGTGCCTTCAGGCTTAACGGTATCAACAGGAAAGCCAAGGGTTTTGTGTGTGACATCTCCCAGCTATTTCTCCAGCATAGGAAAAACTAGAGATAAAACTACATGAATGCCGTTTACAAAAAGCAAAGGCTGGAAATGTTTAAATAGTTGCACCTGCAGTGAGTTGATTTTTGCATGGATTTGCATGAGATTAGGAGACACAATGTACTGCAAAGAGAGACCACTGTGGTATGTCCGCCGAATTCTTATCTTTGTTGGTTTTGTTATCATCATTTTGTCAAAGTCAACCTAAAACAAAATTTTCCTAGTTAAAGCTAGGATTAAACATGGCTGCAGGAATACACAAACTAACAATTGCTAGTTAAAAGGAATATGTAACGTACTAAATACTATAAGGAGATGCATATAAATTGAGCATTTAAATACCTAATGAAGTGAAGGTCAAAAAGAAAACACAAATTGTTGCTTTCAAATCAAAATAAATCAATCATTCTTAAAATAACTGACTTATATTAACAATAATTCTATTACCAAACAGAATTATTCGAATCGTCATGATCGAACGCAATCATCAACTCATTTCTGTCTTACTGTCAAACCAAATCACATAATCATTGCCAACACAATCATCCCGAATCACACAATCACCGCACTAAAATCAACCTGAAAAACTGAATCACTGCAATTACAATCAAACTACAATCATGAGATCATGATATCAAAATTGCTAATCGACCTACTTCAAGGTCACTGATCGTTATTTTGCCACTGGCATCCGGTGACATGGATTTCTGATTCCGCACTTTCTGATATCCCTCTTCCAGGGCGTGGATCAATCTTCTGCTCATTGACTTCCATCTTTTCTGTCTCTGCTCTTCCCAATGCACGTCGCTCCTAGAATCAAGTTGATTTTAGCCTTTACCATTTGTATTTGTATTTGTATTTGTTGCTACCTGGCATCCGAAGGTAGTTTTTAGGACACTGAGAAGCTATGCTTATCGAGCAGTGTCCTGGTCCTTCCTCTCGATCTGACCACACCTCGTGATTCCTACGCCTGGAATTACAGAGAGCTGGCGACTCTCCCCACTTTGGGTGAAAGTTTGGTCATGTCAGGGACTCGAACCACGGACCCTTGGGTCTGTAGTTAGCGCCTCTAACAACTGAGCCACCATTTTACTTGGACAATCATTAACATGTCCAAAAATAAAAAGAAACGAAAAAAAAATTCATTCGGATAAATTTTGGTTGAAACACTAATTTTTTTAAATATTTAAACGAACATTTTAAATTAGCTCTCATGAAAGTGCAGGGGATTTAGTTTTATTTGATTATAGCCTGACGGTTCCTTCTTCTGATAAAAATTATCTGTAATTTCATCGTGGTTTACAGTCTTTCAATGAAACGTCTGATGAAACATAAGGTCGCCATATGGAACTTGGGTTTTTAAATAAGAAGCATTTGATTAGCATTGCAGCTTGTATTGTGGGAAAAGGTGAGGATTTATGCAAAATTAGTATGACTGACACATGTGTGTAAAAAAACCATAAACGTATAGAATGACAATAAGAGTTGGTTTACAGATTATATTTTACCATTTCCAATATATATTATATTTTAAGTCAAGAATAAGTAAAGAAAACATTAATAGTGGTTGTTATTCTAACCCACACCATGAATGAGTAAAAATAAATTCTAAGGTTTCATTAAACGGTCGGTGTACTTTGTGATCCAGCCTGACTTGTATATCAACACTGTGAAGCGAAGCAAGTCTGGAAGTGCATTTAATATTATACTCATTCTTTGTACACAAAAAAGTATGAGCTGATATCACGGAAAAGGTGACAAAGTCAATGGTTATCTGAACGTACTTTCTGATACCAACGTATGCAATATCAAGCTTTTTGTCTACATCCACCAACGATAGACCGATGCTGCACAGGCTTACTGAAATATCTTGCGTTGGGCGCAGCGTCTGCTCCTAAAAGTGAATTTACAATAAAACAATCTTAGAAGCGGAAAATCAAATAAAAAACGACATAAAAACATAAAAACTTAGAGTAATTTTTTTAAATTCGAAATGTATGCTTTTTTAAAAACTGAATTCATAAAATCAACGTAGCTAAATATGGTACTCTTAAATCTCGCCAAAGTTCAAGTTCTTTTAAATTCATAATAATTAGTATTAATTGAAAAGGGTTTGTTGAAATTTGCATGAGCAGACACGATAAGTCTAAACCTAATTCAAATTTGTTTGCAGTCTGCTTGCGTGGCCACATCTTCTTTATACTGTGACTGAAAGGCTGCATCTTGGTAATTTTGCAAATATATGTTATAGATTAACAAATATATATGAAGGAGCACAGTACACATACTTGGCTGGCCTTGTAGGCCAACTTGAAGTCCTCTGTGAACAGTAACACCCTTTGTAGTCCATCCAGGAAACTGACCCAATAGACTGGTTTATCATCAGCTGACATTCTGCCGAAGCCATTCTGAAAGAAAAGTTCCAAATATTTCCAAAATATGTTCTAAGACCATATGAAAAAGAGAAATTTTATTTAGCAACTCCACTTGGGGTATTTTTTGACCAAAACAAGTACTTTAGACTAACACTATAAAAAGGAAAGCAGTCAAGTCCGAAAGGAAAGTAGAAGGGAAGTTCGGGGCTATTGATATCAGAATCATTGATCGCTGCAATTTTGTATATATTGGTACAACAAACTAAATTTTACTTGTTCAGATATCTAGATAAATTTAGCAGTTATCGTACACGACTTAATAGACTAAATATTTCTATTGTTTAACAAGACAAAAGTCAGTAAAACGTATTTTCAGAATGACACAAAATGTCTGATATAATCATCAACATATAAAACACTGTGTAGTGATCAAGATGTTCATTTTCTAACTAATATCCTATTTGCTTTGCATTGCGCAAAGTTGTTTCATTTGTCAGAGCTTTATCCAGCCATCTGACAAATAAACGTGGACATCCTTAAAAATATTACCCTACCTTATCTAATGATATAGTTTCTGTCGTGCTCTTGGGCTCAATGAAACTGCAAGTCAGTTCGTGGCCCTTCATTGGGTCATCCCAAGTATACAACACGGATTGTCCGTAGCACAAAACCCATGTCTTCTCAGCTTCACTGCAAAATATGCGATCAACATTATAAAGGTGGCCCCAGGCATATACAAATGTACAGAGACTGACAAAAATAAAAACTGACACGTCGCACCCCCCCCCCCCTTAGGTAAATTGCCTCAAAATCTCTTGTTAATTTGAGTAGGTAAGCGAAACTAGTTGAGAGTGAACAAAAGTAGCGAACGGCACATAAACAGGCTAGTCATTTACTGAATTGCTCAACATTCAGACATTCAGATGAAAGCGAGGCTATCATAAGCATAACTATGTTAATTTATGGCAATTAGCTCCTTCACAACAGTTGCCCCACCGTTTCTTTTGGAGGGGGAGGGGTAAGCGTTCGGGCGCAAGGTTGATTTCTTAGTTTATGCTCAACTAGTTTACCGAGTGAGCAGTAAATAATTCCCAATCTGCCGAATAAAAAGCCAAGTTATGATACTTGGGGGGGGGGGGGGGTATCACACACCATCCCCAGTACCTCCTCTGGCTACTCTCGATGCTTTAATTCTAGTCTAACCAGGTTCGAATTTAAAGAGGAAGAATGGAAGACCTGCTCAGAGGATATTCAGTTTTGCTGGATAACTCAAACGTACTTACCTCTGTTTGTAACTGACCATGCTTATATTTGGACAGTAATTCTCTATGCGAACAGGAGCAGCCCCCTCAAAATAGGGGCTGAATGAAAGAATCGAAGCAGAGTCCTTTTCTTGGAAACTCACACAGACTCCCCCAATCTGAAAAGAAAACAGAAAAAGGGGGTGAATTTCACGAGTTAAACTATGAGTAAAACTATCTGATTTGGATTAGAAGAAAGTTAAACATTACTGAGTTAAGAGGGGACACCAAATAGTTACTTTTTGGAGTCACTTTCCTCTTCAGCTGCTAAAAAGAAAAATTAATTATCTTTGGTTTCTCAAGCTTCTTTGGATTGTACCTGATTCCCTTCGCCTTCCTTCTTGTGCAAACTTCAGAATAACATACCAAGACATTTCTAAAATTACTTTGCAGGTATTGGAAATAGGTATAAAAATGTATTGCAGCATACCTCATTGTTTATTTTCAGTAGCAGGGTCGTTACAGGAACTGGGTTGAACTTGATTGACTCTCTTCCATTCACATTGATGTAAAGATTTGTCGGAGGCAGAACCGAGGGCCAAAATGGAATCGACTAAATGCGGAACAAAAGATATTGAATCATACAATATAGGTAAGGCAAGTGAAAAGTGAGAGAAAATACAACTGGGCTATGAATACAAATACAGCTTCGCCGGTGAAATGCTGAACCATGTTCTTTAGGGTTCAAGATTTTATCATGATCAAAAATTGCGACAGAATTTTTCACGGTGTGGTCGGCCAATATATGACAAAGGAAATTGAGTGAAGTATGGTATATATTCAACTGCGATAAACAAAATCAAAGAGTTGTTTGTTATTTAGACCAGTGACAATGAGGTATAGCCAACTGGATCCATGAAGATATAAGAGCAGGGTCGTGCTTTTAATATCATTACCTCGCCAGGTTTGATGTCATGAAATTCTGCCACTTTGGCATCAGCCTCAGCTAAACTGATCAAATGCTAGGAAAAAGAGAGGTTAGATTAATAGATTAATAGATAAAATTTATTAATTCACATATTATAACTGTTATCAGATCATAGAGATACGACGTCACAAAAACTTGACGTTAGATATGGCGTGAATAATGTAAATTGGCATTGACTGTTACCTCGGTGTGATTAGAAAGCATGTGGAGGGGCGTCAGTGTAACAATCTTGGTCAAACTGAAGTAGGACAAACTGATGCCAACACCAATCTGAAGATGAAGTAAACAAACGTCAAACGAATATGATATTTGAAGCCACTGGATGTTCGTCTTCATATGCAATTCCAAGTAACAAGTAATTCACTGCAGATTTAGCTTTAAAAGGACATCATCACTCTGATTTCCGACATAGGCCATGTTTCTGTCTATGATTCCGTTATTAGCAAGATTTAATTTCTATTCTTAAAGAAACACCAAATGCCATTTCTCACTTGAAGATCAATCACAGATACTTAGATAGAAACAAAAAATAACATTAGCTATAAGGGATTAACAAATTGTTTTTGATACTCTATTTTGTGTTACCTCGTATGTTTTGCCATGTTTACCAACTGATTTGACAGAACCATCGCTTCCAATTGTATCGACGGAGAAATCACTCGACCATTCACATCCAGAAACACAAAGCTTCATCTACAAAAATCCACAGAAAAGTTCATCAGGCGCTGGGTTTTGTAAAACTTAATCAAGCACGAAGATACAATGGGCTTTTGGTGGCAGTTTGATATTTTGATAGACTAACAAAAGTAAACAAAATAGCTTAGGCCAGTCAACGTATTGAGCAACAGCATAAATAAACGAGTAACTTTTGCAATAATTTGCGAATTATCTAAAAATGAAGCCTACCTTTTTATTGTTTCCTTGTACCATCAACATAAATGTTTCGGGTGACGATCCATTATGCTTGAAAATCCTCGGCTCTCCACTCGCCTAGATTCAAAATGGCACTTTACATACTCAAAAAGACACGCACTTGTACAATTACTTCACCTAGGGACATTCAGGTAATTTCATCTTAGGACTTTCATAAAGACAATTCTCTAGTTCAGCACTTTAAGTATTTTTGCTACTTGCAAACCAGCTAAATGCAGAAAGCTAGTAAAAAAAATTTAGGCGGTAAAGAAGAGTGCTTAAATACCGTAAATCCTCGAATTACCCCCCTGGGGGCTTATTTATTTTTGATATTTTTGGATGGGGGGCTTATTCGAGGGGGGGGGCTTAGACATTAAGAAGACATTATTAAAATACCTCGTTTATTTTAGTAGAAATTTCTTTATGAGCATTTAATCAATGACTAACAAAAGTATGAATTTGTTATGGTAAGTCAATAAAACGCCAAAGGCAACCTCAGATGGCAAAAATCATCAAATTGAGGGGTCCAATTTGAGAATTTACGGTAGCAGTGGGGGCTTATTCGAGGGGGGGGGGCTTATTGACAATTTGTAGTTCTAGGGTGGGGGCTTATTCGACGGGGGGCTCTTTCGAGGGGGGGGGGGGGCAATTCGAGGATTTACGTTATTTATTATGTGACTTCAATACATACAAACTACGTGGTTGGGTCGTGTTTATGTCAAACAGAGGCTAATATATGCCAATATAAATTAAGAGATCACCTGGTATTCGAGGGCTCTACCAGTTTTGTTCACAATCCAATAAGGACTGTAAAACGTGAGATGTTGACTTCCTTTGTCGTTCACGTAAATTCCAATCTGAACAGAAATCGCTGATAATAAGTTTCTGGTAAAAAAATTTATCCTATTTGCTACATTACAATCTTCTTTATAAGAACAACGAGTCAGAAAAACAGTGTGAGAACATGCTACGCACCAGAGGAAAATTACAAGAAATCAATCTGAAAACTTTCTCTCGTGTTAAAAAACAGGGCAAATATTGTCAGCTAAAAACCATGCAACTGATAATGTCATGCAAGACTGCCATTCAGGGGTCTTGGAAACAATTTACTATATACTTATTGTTTTAGTAAACAGTAATATTGTAACCAAAACAATATTAAGAACACCTGAGCCTTAAAATTATGCTAAAAATGAGAACATCGAGTCTCGAGAAAAATCATCTTTTCTTTTATAAAAAAGAGTTTAAGTCTTCAGAATAGATCTGATTAGCTACTTATATTGTTCAACAGTTTTGAATTTTAACTAAAAAAGTTAACGTTTCGACAAGGTTGCTTTACAGTAGCTGACATTCTGATATTATATAGCAAAACCATTATACTAGTATGAATGTTATCACCCGTTAATACGAAGAGAGAATAAAATGCCTGATCTTGCCACGAAACAACTCACGAGGCTATTAAAACTCAAACATTTTATTTGCTTTTTAACGACAAATTTCCTAAGAATTGTCAAGAAAAACAAGTCAGTTATTGATGACATACCCACAATATATCATCTCCTTCTTTTGGCGTCAGTTTGATCTTTTTTATCTCGTCGTTTTCTTTCTTTTCCTTCAACGAAAAGCTGCCACTCCATTCTTTGCCAAGGTACCCAGACACCTAAAAGTCGTAAACATTGTGAAAAGACAGAAGCATATAAAAGCTTGCCTCGCATGAAATACTGAAGTGTACTGAAAGACCAATAAAAAGAAAGGGAAGTTCAAATAATTTAAAAATCGGTCATATAATGGGTCATGCTGTCCCATTTTCCTGAATGCCAGTAGACAAAATCCTGAACTGATCGTCAAAATTTCCTGAAGGTCGTTTAAATAAGGGCGATTCTTAATCACAAATGTCTTTGTAAGTAGATTTGCTCTTCCTACGACAGTACCCCTCTCCTTAGCCAGGAAGTTACTGGTCAAATGTCAGTATTTTAAAATGAGCTGAATTATTAGTGAACAGGGTGGCTGAAGAAATGATAAAAGCAGGCAAGCTTTTTCTTCGCTCAAGCAAATATAAAAGCTACCCATCATATGATTTCGATCGAGGTCTGCTTCAATAAGAGGTCGAGATTAGTCACCTGTAGCTCAATGACCGGCATCTGAGCAATGTCAGCGCTGAAGAGAGGCCAATTCTCGCCTCCTTTCAAAGGTTCAAAATTGAACATCCCCTAAAAGAATAAAACACTTTAAGTTGCAGTAGGCCGCCACAAACATGCCGTTCTTCCATTCGATACGCCGTTACGCTTTCTACTGAGTATGACGCTTCATGATTACGCTTATCAATGAGAATTCGAAATTTTGCACTAGGCCTATAAGCTACTAACATGACCGCAACCTTACAGTTTCATCAACAAACCTAAAATAAAATTCTCAAAAATATCAAGGATTTGTTAAATGTAGCGGAGCAACAAATTCAGTAGATATTCATCTTATTGCTTAAAGTGGTACTCAAAACACACAAGTGAATATCAAATTACTAACACCGGGAAACAAAGGCCTCGGTAATATACAAATGTCACTGATGACAACAAACCGTTGATCGGTAAAGAATGTTGGTTGGAAGGTAGTTGTGAAGCACGACAGTCGGATGGCAGTGGAAAGTAAACTTTGGTGCGAATCTCTCCAAGCCAGAAGTTGATGAAGTGTAAACTTGTTCCTCGCAGACAATCTGGTATCAAAAAAAGGAACGCTTGTATTTTTAAGAATGTCGGCAGACTGACTTTGATTAAAAATTCCAGTAAAAAAATTTACGTATTGGGGTTCATTGTTTCTTATATAGAAGAGGTAGTCTATATCTTCTGTTTGATGCTGCGACAGCATAACTCAAAAGGCTGTTAATGACAATTTATGAATTCGAGGCTAGCCTTCTTTCCATAACATTTCCATAACGAGGCTAGCCATCATAATCACGACTTCAATGCAACAAAATAATAACTTCTTAGAACTGGTTTTTGTCTTTTGCCTTAATTTCATATAAATTGAATGCAACATAAATAAATACATAAAACCTGAAACATTGCATATATTTTTTTGTTATACATTATATAATTACCACCTTAGCGAATGAAAGTATGAAGTTCAAGGCTACCTGAATATATAATGGCTGGCTTGATTCGCCTCGGCATGTGAAAATCTTTCTTGTTTTTCGTTCACCAAAACTTCCCCATGATATACCCTCCGTTGTTTCCTCGTACCTTGGAATATTGATTTGAAAATTGAGTAACTGTGTGAGATGCAAATAATGCCTGCCAAAAGTCTTGGTGAGCTTCAGTGAATTTTTCAGCATTTTATACTGCATCCCCCCTCCAACTCCAAACAATGTTTTGTTATCCAAAGTGTGGCCCATTAGGTTCCATTACGATAGGTATGATATTTAACTTTTCAACAAACATTGTTTGGAGGGGAGAGGGGGTGCGGTGTCAGTTTTTTTTACTGGAAACTGGTAAAAAAACACTTCAGCAACTCTAAAGACATTAAAATTCGGCGTTCAAGAGACTTCAAAGATGAATTCATAAAATATAATCTACAAATCGAAATTTCTCACAGTCAGACCATTGCCAAACTTTATACTTATTTTGCCAATACTGATTGCATAACCGCCAGCGAATAAATTTGATTAATTTATATTACTCTAGTGTCTCTAATAGAAGGGGAGAGGTAATAGAATGGGGTGCTCATTCTGACCAGTTTTCAATAGAAGGGGGTGCTAATAGAAGGGGGGGTGTTCATGTCGACCAGTTTTCAATAGAAGGGGGTGCTAATAGAAGGGGGTGTTCATGTCGGCAATCTTTCTTTGAAATCGAAGTACCTTTTAGAATTTACTGTCAAAATTTGGTTTCAGTTTCTTGCATAGTTTTAGAGAAAATTGCAATCATACAAAGATAAATCAAATTTACAGCTTTAAACTTCCAAGTCAAAAATCATCGGTTTCCTTTGTACGGTTGAAATTTTACAAAAAACTATGGAAAACAACGAAAAATGAAAATCAAATGACTTGATTTGTAAAAGTTGATAGAAGGGGGGTGCTAATAAGCAACGGGGGGATGGCAAATTCTTCTGAAATAAATACACGGGGGGCCCGTCTTTTAGATACACTGGAGTACATTAACAACAGCAGTGATGAATGACCTTTCGTTATCTATTGCCATAAAAATCTCACCCGAATCCGGCTGGTTTCATAAAGAGTTTAGCGTGATATGCAACCATAAGGGGAACCGAGAATATTTCGTTTCGCTTGACAGTCGACATGTGTTTGATCTTTTTGTCTTTGTTTTCATACGAAATATCAATCGGCATTGGGAAATGGTTGCGTACCTAAACAGAGAGAGATAATTTAACGAAATTGATGCTTTACAAAGTTATTCAGTGCTAAGAGAAAGGAAGATTCAAACAATCTTACAAACATAATAAACTGGCAAAGAACCACAGTGTGAGAAGTAAGTAAACTACGAAAAAGTAATTCAAATCTTTGGCTAGTGCTATTCTTGACTTGACCTGACTTGACCTGACTTGACTTGACTTGACTTGACTTGACTTGACCTGACTTGACTTGACCTGACCTGACCTGACCTGACTTGACCTGACTTGACTTGACCTGACTTGACTTGACCTGACCTGACCTGACTTGACTTGACCTGACTTGACTTGACTTGACCTGACCTGACTTGACTTGACCTGACTTGACTTGACCTGACCTGACTTGACCTGACCTGACCTAGCTTGACTTGAGAAGTTGGGATAGCAAATACGGATAGGATACTATTGCCTTCATATGAGGGGAACTTGACTCAATAACGTAAATGATATTTCAGGGGTTATGCTATAAGGTAAAAAATGTAGCTCATGATTGGAAAGCAATAAATGGATATTTGGGAAAATACTTGCTTGTAACGGAGATCGAAGAGTGACAGTTCGTTGCCCTTCAGAAGCATCAATATCAACCACAATGGAATAGTTTGTGCCAGGTCCAGCAAGAAGCTAAGATAAAACAAGTTAACATGATTCAAAATTGCTAAAAACCTTACGGTATGTTACGGTATAAAACAACGTATTTCCTGATAGTGAGCTAACTTCAAACCGGATAGCTACATTGACTAAAGCATTTTTTGACTTATTCTTCAAGTAGGGTACTGACTTTTTACAAGCAAAAGGGGCCTGAAACTAGCAAGCTATAAATGACGTCAGTAACTTAAAACGTAATGCTTAAGCTTCATTATACAAGATTAATTCCCAGCATTCATGTCTGGATGGAATCAATAAGCATTTAAGTAATGTGAGATGCTGTAACCAACAAAGTATTCTCAGAATTCAAAATGCAATTAATTTGAGGCTTACGTTTGATGGGACAATATCATACAAAATAGAGCGATGACGTTTGATCGCGATGTCTTTGATTTCGTGGTATCCATCAACCTGCAAATAACAAACATGGTATTAAAAACATTTATTCAGTAGGATGATTGTGTGATTGTTATGATCAAAGAAACGATTAGAGTGATCGAAATCGTCACCTAACGATAGACTTTAGTGTCAAAGTACGGTGGTCTGTTACTGAAATGGCACAATTAGAAATGAAACTCTTAAGCTGTCAGCAGCCATAATGAATTATGATAAACTAGTGATTCTTGCAAGCAGTAACATATAATTTTACCTTGACAGTAATTGTTGGAACAGGAACCTTGGCATACTTGGAAACTCTCCCTGATTTTGCAAACACGTCTGAAAATGACGACTTGAAAGTCAACGAGACCGATTGATTATGTTCCAATGTCATTTGCTCCTGGCCATTAACACACTGGAAGAGCGAATGAAACATAACGAGCTTGTGGTAATGTGACATAAATGAGTAGCCACTTTTCAATACAAAAAGCTATATGTATTATTGGTGACACGGTACTATTGCAAGAGAAATCTACTTTGTTGAAATGGGAAGTCATGGATTCAGACCTGTCAACCTTTAATTTTCAAAACCTGGAGATTTTAGATTTTTCCTAAAGAAAAACAGGGAGATTTGGTCAAAAACAGGGAGATCACAGTAATTTGTTAAGGGAATAAATATACCTGATAAAATGTTGTGCTCGGCAAACAGTTTATGACAAAAGTGATCATGAGAAGTATCTTCATAATAACTTTTAGTGCATTTTTGTCAATCATTAAGCGCTAACAAAAAATTGTTGTCATGTGGAATTCAATGTGACCATTATCTCTTAATTATACCTCTGTAATAAGAAAACATACATAATGGACCTGTCTTTGAAGCATAAGATGCGCAGTTCAATCGAACATTCGGTGAAGAATCTTCCTAGACATTCTGCTAGAAATCTTTGAAACCGGGAGAAAAATTTTAAAAACCGGGAGACCGGGAGAAAGCAGTCAAAACCAGGAGTCTCCTGGCTGGACCGGGAGTGTTGACAGGTCTGTGGATTATTTGGTTGATGGTCACAGATCTCAACAACAACTGCTATTGAGGACTCTGCCTTGATAAATTGACGAAGACAGAAATTGCCTAGATTCAATTGTATTCAAGAATCATCAAATGTCCGGCATTATTATTATTAGAAGGAAGGGCCAGGAAAATGTCCGGTAAGGGAAGCATTTTTTTTATCCTACCTTTAGACTTTTGAATGAAGTAAATGAAAATATCCAGACAAACAAACAAACAAACAAACAAACAAACAAACAAACAAACAAACAAACAAACAAACAAACAAACAAACAAACAAACAAACAAACGAACAAACAAACAAACAAACAAACAAACAAGTTTAAAAACATAATTATTAACAGAAAGATATAATTATTATGTAGACACATTATGAGGAAAAGCAATAAAAATGTAAGCAGATTGAGATATAAAAAGATAAATATACCATAAGAACTTCTTCAGTCCGAATGAGAACATCTTTGCCAAGCTGCAAAGAATAAAAAGTATGTTAGGGTTCGTGCTTCAATTTGCATGCACACTCTAACGAGTTCTGAAAAAGAATTGAGGGCAGTAATACTTTTAAAGAGCAAGTTACCATGTTGTAAACGACGAAAGGAGATTTCTCAGCGCCAATCTCAGTCGAAGCTTCCTCTTCATAAACAGCTTTACTGAAAACCTATAAAGGAAGGAAACCTTAATAAATGAAAACTGATCCGTGAAATGAATTATTGTCAGCAAGAATGCATTCGCAACTGAGTTGACAAATAAGCTAAACATTTTACTTCAGGAAGAAGGAAGATTCCCCTGGGTCTATATCGCAAAATATGTCTTGCCACTATCCACTCCGAATTCTTGAAACTTTTTCAAAACATTTTCAAAACTTCAATCCTCAGTAAGATATGTTTCAGATTTTTCAAAAGGACAGGAATCCTAATTAGGTAGGAAAATCAAAACAGCATTTTTATTTTATTCAAGTAAAATTTCACCTGGCCTAAATTTTGCAAAAGGCCTAAACTGGTTTTTGTTATTGTAAGTTCCAGCGGGTCCTTTGCATCAACCTTCAATGTTGTCATGGGAACTTGTATGTCAATTTCATCAGCCTCGTCGTCCTTTTCAACGTCAGCCTCTAATCCATTTCCGTCTTCTGTGTCATCTCCATGGGTAAGGTACTGCATAAAAGAAACGTCATAAAACTTTTAAACGACATAGTCATCCTTTGCCCCCTTGGCAAAATTTTTAACACGCATACATGTGATACCCTCATACTAATACATGAATTTTTGGCTGCTAACAAAAAGGGTTTGAAGTCCTGTGATTCTTACAATTCAATGCAACTGGACACAGCTAATGAGGCATATTGCAAGAATCTGAAACAACACTTACAGAAATCTCAAGCTCCATTGGCCTCTGAGAACTGTCATCAGGAATTGGCTCAATCAATGGCTCCCATTCGGCAACCTTTTCGTTGAAATACGATGCTTCGAGGTTCAGAGAGATGTTCAGGCAAATCTGCATCAATAAAAAAACAAATATTTAAGAAATAAGAACTCCTTTCACTCTATCGGCAAAAAAATGAGATCCACAAGAAACAGAATCGATACATACAGGAGATGCCGAATTACTTACATTCGATGACCAGTTTCTTATATTCGCTTGCATTCTTGTGTCCATGCTCAACAGCGGCGTCAACTGTCCGCCCAAATAGCCTTCAATTTTCAAAACGACTCCTTCAGTTTCAAGAATTAGCTGCAAAAAATAAGGTGCAATGTCATAAATACTTCATAAATAAGTTTTGATGTTGCAATACTATGTTTCTTGACCATTTACTTTTCACATATTAATTTTTTTTTCTTGCCTTAATCTATTCTTTATATCTATTTAAAGTCTTCAACAAATAATGCATATTAAAAATATCAAAACATTTCTCTATAAAAATGATCAGTTTGACGTCCTGCAAATCATTTTAGATCCACAAACTCTGTTCTTTACACTTTTCCATTACAATTTCTATTTCCATTTATACAAAAATCAACAAAACATTGACCGAAATATAAGCAGAGAATTATAATGTGCTGATCATAAACCAACCTGCTCTATCCGTACTGTATCAACCAGGTCATCTGTCGATCCATCTTGAAATTAAAAACCACAAGTAAAATCAAATCGTCTCTGTAACATTCGGGCTTATTCAAATCTTCAGCAATGCATACGTTTTAAAATCATTACTGCAAATGACGGTAATTTTCACGTAATCATATTGCAATGAACACACAAAGCAGAAGTTTGATTGTGGAAAAGGAAAACTTGATGTTGAAAAAATTGCAAATTCCATATAAATAAAACCATTTAAAAAAGATCAAGCTACGAATGTGACGTACCAGTCTGGTCTCCTTCAGGCACAACCCTTATCTTAGACAGAGTTGTAATGATGGATGTTTCGTCAAACCGGTCTACTAGATATGTTGTGCGTTTTCTCAGATTTGTTTTAATTTCCCTGATACGACCGAGGATCATAACCTGCTCTCTGCCATGCTCTTCATCGGATGAAATCACCAAAGACCCTATTCGCAGATCGGTCGGCTTCGGCTCTACGTTCCACACCACAGCGTCAAATTTACGGAGGTTATAAACTTGTTTCTTTCCGTTCAGCATTTTCACTGTTATTTTCTTTAGATTTTTCTCGCATACAACACCTTTCTCGTAACTGGACTGAGATGATGGCACTTTGGCATATACATAACAGCCTTGGTTTGGTACAACTTTGAGATAAAAAGAAATACATTATGATGACTTAGTTTAACTTAAAACTGCAGGAAAAACTGGCATACTTTGAATTCAAGCAGACAACAGCATGTACAAAATTGACCCTGATGCAGGCCCTGCTAAAATTTTGTTCCCTGTTTTGTTTTTGCGACAGATACTGTATGTCAACAGCGAAAGGAAATTCCTCTGTTATCATCAGTCAATTCCAGTAATTAAATCTTATTGCCATTCCCAATAGCTTTTTGCTCGCAGTTTCAAATGTCGTCCACTACCGCAGCTAGGCTAGCCAAATCCGTTAAGGCGGGAAGATCTATTGTTCATATTAGCCAATCATTGAGGGGACTGACTGCCTTTAAGTGAATTCTGCATCACTTTCAACTTTATTAACGAACTGTTTACGGAAAAGTCTTTGGAGCCAATTATAGTCAGTGACGGGCACCTGGGGGCCGAGGGGGGCGGTCCCCCTATATTTTGGAGGACAATGGTCGGCTGTTCTAAAACAATGGCAAAATGTGACGTCATCTTATCAAAACTATAGACTTGCCTTTCCCCCAATAATTGACTAAGTGTCCGCCCCTGATTATAGTCTAATTTAAATCTAGCATGAGATTTCTGATTTCACTTACTGTCAACATTTTGTTTTGGGAGCAACACCATTTGATCAATAAGAACACCACATGAATCACCGTCATCAAACTTTACGACATATATTGGCTCCTCCATGCTTCTTTGTATCAACTGAATCCTGCCCGGAAAGTACCTGCAAAGTAAATAGAAATCGGGAGTAAACAGGGGCGAGCTACGAAAATTGGCTAACGTCAGAAATAGCAGAAGAAGATAACACAAGGATTCGTTACAGGGAATGGTTAATTTGCAAACATGAAGGGCGTTGTGAAACTTTGCTTGTAGATTGTAGGCAAAAACCTACTTTTGCAAGCACATATAATATTATGCATGCAGAATAAATAATTATGGTTCAGTATAAACTCAAAGTGAATTTTGTGCAACACCTCCAAAAAACAAACATAAGTAAACAATGGACTTATCAAACATATTCAAAATCACTTTTTTATAAGAAAACCTTACTTTTGTCTCCATATTCTTGAAAATATTTTGGCTCTTAGAGCCTACTCTTAGAAGCTACTAAATCTGAAACTATTCTTAAACCATTTTGAAGAAAATTTTGAAAAGCAAAAATCTTTGTAACAGTCTATCTTGATCATGAAAAGATTGTATGAAAGGACACAAAGGCAAGCGCAATACGAGCTCGTACAAGCTTGTATTTTGCGTGAATGTTGAGCTTGTCTTTTTTGCTCAAAAACTTACAAAGGCAAAGAGTCAAATTTTCGATGGCATTGAGACTGGCCATCATTTTTAAATTGTTTATTCTATTCAGCAACCTCGAGCTCCAATACCCTTATAAAGTTTATCCTAATGTGTAATAGACATCACTAAATAACGGACTCATCAAATTTAATGAAACAATATCTTCCTGCTATTAAAACATTGTAAAAGTTTTTCAAACAGAAGACACTTTCATACAACGAACAGCATTTCTTGTCGTAAAAGTGTCCGGTGACTTCGCTGCCCGGTAAATGGCTTTTTGCAGAGCACTCAACTGATGTTTCACTTACTGTTTTCCTTTGAGCTTGAAGCAAATAACCCGAGTTCCTCGCTGCACATAGGCATGCCTCGGATGCAATGCAAAAATCACTGCTGTGACGTCATCTGTGTCGTATGAAATCGTTTCTTGCAGTTCAAATACATACACGTGACAGCGGAATTCGCGTAGTGACGTCACCTTTCCTCGGCAGTAGCACCCATTCTTCATTCGGGCGAAAACCAGCGACCCAACGCCGGGTGTAGCTGTCAAGTTAATCAGATACACCGACGACCACGTCCGTGGGGTAGCTGCAAGTTACGTCAGAACGCAGGATATTGAGACCATCCCACGAGAGAAAATTTGGTCATCGACCATAGTAATGTTGAGCTGGGTATAATACAGTGCTAACGCTTTGCAATATTTATTTAAGACTTCATCTTTAATAAGATCTCTATTATACCCGAGAGAACTGGAGATTTCAATTAACTGTCTTGAGAGGCGCGCAAGATGAGTTACTACTACAGTACATTATACTTCACATGTGATACGAGTCCAGTAGAACCACACCGCTGGTTATATATTACAGACTTATCAGATGGTCGTATCGTATAGTAGCTAAGGGGATCGGATGTCAGCCCGACGGAATCAGAAATGTAAATTTTTATGCGAAGAATATATTATTCATTTCTTGTTGGACATATTGTAGTCTATTTACAACGCCAGCACTATATCGACTATAACGTCCCCCGTAAGAGCAGGCGGTGTATAACAAGAGAGCTCGTAGTCCTGAGCCTTGGGGAGCGCTGCAGTTTGTCGATTGAGATCATTATTGCGTATCTATGTTGGTTCTTGGTACAGAGCCTCTAGCGATGAGTCAGAGCTAAGGCTGTCTAGAGAGTCTGCGTTCGTGGTTGTTAGATAGTATGTCACACCATTAGCAGATATTTCGTCGTCTCGTGGGATGGACTTTCAACGTTTTCACAACGCTAGTTGAGAGGGCCGACTGAGCCGCAGGGCTTTATACGTCCAGTTATCACCATGCATTGAGGGGGCAGTTCTTCCCCGTCCGAGGATCTGCTTACCCTAGCTTATATCTACAGATACCTTCCCCTTTGACTCTTTATGTAGCTGCGATGAGTGCCCACACGGACGCGGTATGGACACGAGACCGGTTGTTCTATTCGCAAGAATCTACAGAGAATATGTGTCCTTTTACAGTGTGTTTAAGCCTCACCCTTCCGGGATAAGAAGTAAACATTGAAGTCACACCATTTCTGCGATGAATTGGAGAGTGGGGAAGGTGAAACGAGTGTGGGTGTCCCGCATATGACCGAGAGTAAGGATTAGTTAAATTGAGGATCCCTGAAGGCATACGGATCTCCACCGTGGTGATTGCGACGAAGATGTAAAGGCTAAAAGTGTGACTTGTAACGAAACACAGACTATAGGAGATAATGGCGAGAGTGAGAGAAGTGAGTACCCTATAGTACTAGATTGTGCATGGGAAGGAGTATAAATTCTAAGTGAGAGAGATATCAAGAGCAGGAAAAAAAGCGAGAGAGGTTCACACACACACCACGAAGAGAGAGGAGAGTTTAAGCGAACAGGCCGTGTTCCTGCTTGGGTGCACGAGACGGTTGAGAGTTCTGCTTGAGCAGCTAAAACACAACTAACGAATAAGATACGTTGCTCATCTATATATATCGGATTAGGAGGGAGGAGGCGTTCTGGTACAAGTGAGAGAGACTCTCTATGTATGTGTTAGGTAAGAGAGGAGCTATCGGGGAGTAGAATACATAACCAACTTTCCTGTTAAATCTATAAGAGGCATGATAGAAATAAAGCAACCTTGGTCTCGAGGTAACCACATTCTCTTGGATACTTCTAATGTCATCCAGTATCGCACTATAAATCTCTGCAAGAGAGAAGCAACAGATGCTTTGTGGCACCACAGACGTATGTTCTAATTTGTTCAAATAAAGAGATGAAATCCATTTTACTCCAGACTTCAGTAGCTGTAAACTAAAAATGTCAAGCAATAACATGACAACGCGATACGGTATGTAATATACAGCAAGTTCACGATATTTCGTGTCAGACCTATGTGGCATCCACGTGTATGCTGTCCAAATCTGTGATTCGGGCTATTATATACGATGTGTAGGCTCGGAATACACGGAGAGCATATCGAGCGACACTAAAATCTCTATATCTGACATCACAGTTTTACTGAAGACAGCACGTATATGCCCAGTGTGCTGTTAAAGTCGGCGCGACTGTTAGAAGGGTAGTTCGCTGGACCAAAGAGCTAAAGGAAAAGTTTCATAGCGTGGAGAGCGGTATATGGTCATTATATGAGAGACTCTTGGCGACCCTGTACTAAATGCACAGCGCACGAGAGAGTGCAACTGATGAAATCCAGATTATTATCCACTTCACTCATCAGCAGAGAAAGCAGCTGAGTAATAGGTATGTCACAACGAGTCTACACGTGCAAATTGATGTACATTCTCAAAAGATAAAGGGAGACCATATATATAGATATAAACGTTAAAGGGCACACCCGGACATCGATTTGATGTGGTACGCTGGGGAGTAATTGATCGAATGAATGAGACGGTTGTGCTGACGGTTCATGTGTGGCTTGCCACAATCGGAGCATTGCGAACAAGCTATAACACTGGATAGCGCAGACAACCTAAGTGGGAAAAGTATTTTATGTTGAATACATCAATTATGGAGCATTGTCATACGAAGAAAATCACGATGCTTGTAGTACTCGCAGCCATGTACATAAGTAAGCCGGATCATAAGCATAACTAAAGCACATCTCTGTTTGATGACTGCCTGCACAGGTATAAAGTGAAAGGTGAATGACTACGGCAACATTGAAGGAATGAATAACGCGTTTGATTGGTTCCTTGTTTTGATGCCGAACAGTTTCAGGCACCTGGTATCATGTGTTGAAGGAAGTCTAATTATACAATAACAAAGAGCGTTTCGATAAGATTTGCCATATGCGTTTATAAAACTGGAACAACTCCATTTAGGGGACAATTTTTAAGTGGAGCAATTTTGGGTCACTGTTGGGAAATTAACCATTTTCCCTCGTATCAATTGAGCAATGATCAGTTCTTCTTTGCCTTCTGTTCTCTTGTAACCTTATTTTGAGCATGCTTCCTGCATGAAATTTTGTCAAACCTAGATATTTTAACAATAAGAACGATTCAGGTCTATAAATTGTATTTACCTCTTGGCTCAGGTTTCAATCAAGTTGATGACAGAAAATTGATGACAGATCTGTTATCCAGAAATAATCGATAGCCCATTCAGAAGACGCATATCGTGACCGAGTAGCGGAGGTATTTGAAGAGAGACGTATTATGCATGAGGAGGCAAGCTGGTGACTAGAGAGCATATGCCTATGAGGTCTTAGGCCACCTGAGTAATCTCTATATTATTATATATAATACTCACTTGTTATTACCGGAGAAGCACACGTGAGCTGAGATCACATGGAGCTCTCACAGTTGAAGAGTTGCTTGCGTTCTGTGGGGGCTCAGGTGTCGCTCGGTACTGGGAGAGCACGAGTCTGAGTGTCATTCTGGTGTTAGCATATTCGGACTATCCGCAGACACTACTCAGGCAGGGCCGACGCATTGTTTCCGACGGAGTATATGTGTGTTGGAGAGTTTACCCAGGTCTTAAATAGGAATAAAAGCAAAATTATTTTATAGGATAAATACAATACAGAAGAGACACTGGCAGGGAGCTTATGCTGATTCGAGAGTGCATCATGAATAGTACGTAAGAAGGCGTCAGTGTTATTATCAGCCTAGAGAACTTGCCAGGATCTATGTGAGGCGGAGAGGTCCGAGTATTACGAAATATAGTACAGATTCTTTTAAGAGGAGTTCGTGCTTAAGATTGAAGAGAGAGAATTTGTGGCGGACACGAGAGAAAGTGTAGTAAGAGTTTGAGACATCTGAGCAGTTGGATCTTTAGGCGTAGAGTAAGCGTGCATTGAATGATAGGATAGCATCAAGTACAATATACCTGAACACGATACTGTTGGTAAAATAAGAACCAAAGTAGGCGAATATTGGACAATATTCTGTGCAAGAGAGAGCGTCTGAGTGGATCGTCTGATGATAAGCGAGTATGTTAAAGTAGAGTTCTCGAGCAGAATCACTGGGAGATCAGTTGACGAACTAGGGCAACACCAGAGATATAGGGGTTGTGTAGATCGAGTGTGGTGAGTACGATCAAATACAGGTTATTCTGTGCTCTGACAATAGACGGGTTCTAGAACTTATGCTATGTTAGCGAAACTTGCGGCCGAACAGTGATTACTAAGAATTCTCACTATATATATATCACACATTTGACGAAAAAGAGAACAGAGTTTTCATCTCTATTCCAGATTACCTCGAGCGAGACTATCACGGAGTCAGTCTAAATTTGAGGGGATCTATTACACGAGGCGACGAGCTATTCCTGCATGTTGTATGGTGTCCGAGAACATGGATACCATCGTGTCTCCACCCTTTTCCGGTGCCAAATCAATCTGTGTATCAGCGCAGAGGATGTAGATAGCCGGGTTTTGCGTCTGTGTACCATCTACTACAGTATAGAAGCAGGAGACGGTAGGGTGGCCGGCGTAACTGGAAAGAAATTGACGGGTCTGAATATGACCGCCGGACGCAGAGACCATAGAGCTGAGCCGCACCACATCGGCATATCGCAGAGAGAGAGTGATGGATCATGCAAAGAGCCATATGGTAATTGAGAGAGAGAAGATGTATAGTACACGTGTCACCGTTTGATGCGTGTTCCGTGTGGAGAACTTTTGGTCGATGGTTGTGATGGCGGCAGTATTGATGATGGTTCACGGTAATATAGTCCATGTGTTGATTCAGATCATCCGTCGCGTAGGTGTGCTGCATAAGAGAAACTTGGGTATAGAGACTGGATGTAGAGAATCATTAGGCCGTCAACCACCACAGATTGGCTAGGTTCGAGATCATAGGTTTTTAATATATAAATGTTGAGATCTGACTAGCGATTGGTGGAGACAATATAGGATAGATTTACCTAACAGAATCTATGCTAAAGTATAAAGGCCAGTTTCCACTTGATTCTCTTTGGCCCTGGGCTCGAGTGTGTCGTCTCGACTAATACGAGCAGAGAACGACGAGTTATATAATATGGTGGCGACGACCGATAGGAGCGTGGCAGGTCTGGCGGAGTATGAGTCGAGAGTAATTGTGAAGTACGTCCGAGTGGATGTAGGAAAGTGGTCGCAGCGTGCGCGCGCAAGAGGTGGATTTCACGCGTAGCGGCTGTCACGACGGACAACCAACGCGTGGATGGGGCCGGCCTTCAAAGATGTGATGAAAACATAATATAGAAAAAGAGGCGTAAACAGAAAATGAGGGAGACGCTCAGATGGAAGCGTTACAAGAGCTAGTTCTGGGAAGGAAGTCTCAGTTATATATAGGAGAGAAGGTCTGGGGTCATGAAACACAGAAATCGAGGGCAGGGGATCAACTTCCTGTTACCACTGCAATCGTAGTGGGCGAGTTCGACTAAGAGGTCATTTATTTGTCTTTTTTAGATGAATAAAAAAAATGTTTAATTTGTTCTGTATGAAGATCATCTTGTTTGTCTGCTGCAATCGTCTAAAATACACATGATGGCAAAAGCCGATCAAAACTAGTATGCAAAAAACAGCCGTTAATTTTAAGCCATTTTGGTTCTCTTAATCGACCTCGGTGACTCCGTTCTGTTTGGCCGTTGTTCATCTAGAGTCCAACGGTGTCTAAAACAATAGGAAAAGGCCATCGCAACTGTCGATAGAATGTGCCAATTTACCAAGATGGCCTATACACAAAAGTCCCTAACACAATGCCATCCGGCTTTCGTTCCATAATTCCTCTCCTCTAACAAAATAAAAATATCAAAGAGAAAAATCAATCCATTAAAAATGAAGACGATCCTGTTCCTATTTCAATATTATTTAAAAAATTTGATGAAGTTGCTATGAATAATATGTACAATTATTGCTTTCACAACGATCAGTACCAACCTAAAGATATGTGTATTCGAGTTTCTGCTTCAAATCCTTTTCAAGAATCTAAGCTTCCAGTGACTTTATACAGAATTCATTGGTTTCAAAAAAGATAAAAAAAACCAAGCCTAATTTTAAGCATTTTGGTTTGATTAACATTGGTTCAATAAATTACCATAGGCCTAACAACTAGGCTTTAAAATTTACTAACATTTGTTAGATGTTATTCCAAAGTCAGTTCAAGTAATTTACTAAATTCCTTATTGAAGAAGTGCAATAACCATATCCATTGAAAAATAAATGATACTAACTGAGCAAATAAAATGTACCCGATGTCTTTATTCTGGCTAACTATTACTTTAAAGCAATAACGTTTTCGATTTCAAATGTAAACCTTGTTTGCAGCCATACTTCTGTGGGAGGTGCTCCACCGTCCGGTTGTTAGCTGAGATAAAGATTTTAGGCAAGTTACGGATTATCAATTCATTGCGATAAAAAGAGGCAGAAACAGTTTTTGGTAGCGAATTTGTAGCCTTACTCTTCAAGAGTAATCACGCGAAGATGGATACCGTAAATCCTCGAATTAAGCCCCTGGGGGCTTATTTATCTTTGATTTTTGACGGGGCTTATTCGAAGAGAGGGCTTTATTACGAGGCGAGTGGTGGCTTTATTAAATTAATTGTCGACAATAAAAAGACATTATTAAAAGACCTCTGTTTTNATACTGTATGTCAACAGCGAAAGGAAATGCCTCTGTTATCATCAGTCAATTCCAGTAATTAAATCTTATTGCCATTCCCGGTAGCTTCTTGCTCGTAAAATTCAAATGTCGTCCACTACCGCAGCTAGGCCAGCCAAATCCGTTAAGGCGGGAAGACCTATTGTTCATATTAGCCAATCATTGAGGGGACAGACTGCCTTTAAGTGAATTCTGTATCACTTTTGACTTTATTCACGAACTGTTTACGGAAAAGTCTATAGACAATTATAGTCAGTGACGGACACCTGGGGGCCGAGGGGGGCGGTCCCCCTATATTTTGGAGGACAATGGTCGTTTGTTCTAAAACAATGGCAAAACGTGACGTCATCTTATCAAAACTATAGACTTGCCTTTCCCCCAATAATTGACCAAGTGTCCGCCCCTGATTATAGTCTTATTTAAAACTAGCATGAGATTTCTGATTTCACTTACTGTCAACATTTTGTTTTGGGAGCAACACCATTTGATCAATAAGAACACCACATGAATCACCGTCATCAAACTTTACGACATATATTGGCTCCTCCATGCTTCTTTGTATCAACTGAATCCTGCCCGGAAAGTACCTGCAAAGTAAATGGAAATCAGGAGTAAACAGGAGCGAGCTACCAAAATTGGCTAACGTCAGAAATAGCAGAAGAAGCTAACACAAGGAGTTTGTTACAGGAAATTGTTAATTTGCAAACATGAAGGGCGTTGTGAATCTTTGCTTTTAAGACTTGTAGATTGTAAGACTTGTAAAATTTTTTGGCTCTTAGAGCCTACTCTTAGAAGCTACTAAATCTGAAACTATTCTCGAACCATTTTGAAGAAAATTTTGAAAAAAGAAAATCTTTGTAACAGTCTATCTTTATCACGAAAAGATTGTATGAAAGGACACAAAGGCAAGCGCAATACGAGCTCGTACAAGCTTGTATTTTGCTTTAATGTTGAGCTTGTCTTTTTTGCTAAAAACACTTACAAAGGCAAAAAGTCAAATTTTCGATGACATTGAGCCTGGCCATCATTTTTAAATTGTTTATTCTATTCAGCAACCTCGAGCTCCAATACCCTTATAAAGTTTATCCTAATGTGTAATAGACATCACTAAATAACGGACTCATCAAATTTAATGAAACAATATCTTCCTGCTATTAAAACATTGTAAAAGTTTTTCAAACAGAAGACACTTTCATACAACGAACAGCATTTCTTGTCGTAAAAGTGTCCGGTGACTTCGCTGCCCGGTAAATGGCTTTTTGCAGAGCACTCAACTGATGTTTCACTTACTGTTTTCCTTTGAGCTTGAAGCAAATAACCCGAGTTCCTCGCTGCACATAGGCATGCCTCGGATGCAATGCAAAAATCACTGCTGTGACGTCATCTGTGTCGTATGAAATCGTTTCTTGCAGTTCAAATACATACACGTGACAGCGGAATTCGCGTAGTGACGTCACCTTTCCTCGGCAGTAGCACCCATTCTTCATTCGGGCGAAAACCAGCGACCCAACGCCGGGTGTAGCTGTCAAGTTAATCAGATACAATTAATTTCATAGGAAATTTCATAGGTATTTGTAGAAATACAGAACGCTTGCAAATATTTATTTTGTATGACTTCATCTTTATAAGTTTTAAAGCAAACTGGAATTCAATTACTTCTAGCGCCAGTTGTATACTATAAATACTTATTATATGATGCTAACTTAGAAGCCTTTAAAACTTTATTAATTGACTACTAAATTTTGAAAATATTTTTAAAAAAGGCCTAAATTTTTGAATAGCTGAATCTTTTACATCACGTTAATTACAAATCGGTATTCGTAAATTCAAAACTAAAATTCTATTCATACCTTCGATGTTTGGTTTTGGTACAAGCCTCAATGCAGCCGCCGACTTCCAATATTCTTTGTTATCAAAGTAGCATTTGACAAGATATTTCGTCGTCTCTGGTGATTCCCCTGCGTCCTCCCATCCAGGCTCACTGACCTCCTTTCCAGTTGTTTCTACATCACCCTTTTTCTTCCCCGTCCAGATCTGCTTTACCCTAGCAATCTCAAACCTCCCCTTATCTTTATTAGCTGCGAGCACATTAGAACCGACTCTTATTCGACTTTCGTCCGGTTTCTTATCAAGAATCACAGAAGTATTGTCTTTTACAGTGTGTTTAAGCTCCCCTTCCGGATAGAAGTAAACATTGAAGTGAGTATCTTTCTGAGAAAGAAATCCGTGCTGAAAGTCTCCGCTTTTTGTCCGCGCCCAAACCATACTTCCGGGTGTGAGCTTGTTTGCATCAGCTAAAGAATGGATGAAACAAGGTTCTCAAATCACTCGATCGATCGATTACAGGACAAGGACAAGTTCAAACAAAGAAATACACAGTATTTAAAACTAAAATAGATAAGGGTTTACAAATTTTTTTCTGTGATTCAGCGTCCTTGAATTATGTTGTTCTTATCGGATAAAATTATAACGAATCTTTCTCATAAAAAAGAGGCCAGGTGATCAGTTTTTAACATACAAAGACCAGAGATCTCTATGTTGTGGTTTATGGATTGTAAAAAACCACTTTCCTGTTAATCTATAAGATATAAAAAAACATACTTGTCTCGAGGTACCATTTCTTGGAACTTCTAATGTCATCCATATCCCACAATCTCGACAAATCACGATGCTTGCTTTCCGAATCCTTGATGTTCTATTTGTTTCAAATAAAAGATGAAATCATTTTACTACCAGACTTCAAAGCTGTAAACTAAACACTCAAAAAACACAGAGCAATAATAAATTAAGTATTTAATTAAACAGTCAGTTCACATTTCTGTCACGGGCCTAATTTCTGTCCAAGAGCATCATAGTGGTGCAAACAGAAATCATCAGGAAAATAAATCTTGTGTCCTTATGATTACAGTTTACAAGAATGTTATTCTGTATATGGCGCCGTATAAACGGAGTTATATGTTGCCTGCTCTAAAAATTACAGAAACAATTGCCAGATGATCGCATCAAGTGTGAAACTCGGACCCTGTATAACAACGGCCAAATAAACATAAATAACAAGATTATCTTCTAATCACTCATCGGTAGGAATTGTCGATCTATGTTCAGTCGAACGTCTTCATATCCAATAAGGATAAAAGGGAGAAACATTACCTGTTGCTCGGATATAACGGTAAGGCAAGCCATAACTGTTTTGATTGTAGCTGGAGATAAATTGATGAAGAGAACGGTTGTGCTGACGTTCATGTGTGGCTTGCCACCAATCGGAGCATTGCTGTACAAGCTAACACTGGATAGCTGCAACACCTAATGGGAAAAGGTATTTTATGTTGAAATACACAATTATGGAGCATTGCACGAAGAACACGATGCGTTGTAGCTACTCAGCAATTACATAGAGTAGCGGAATCAAAGCATACTAAAGCACATCTTGTTTGATACTCCTCACAGTATAAAAGGAAAGGTGATGACTACGCAACATTGAAGGAAGAATAACGCGTTTGATTGGTTCCTTGTTTTGACCGAACAGTTTCAGGCACCGTAATTCATGTGGTTGAAGAGAGTCAAATACAATAACAAAGAGCGTTGATAAGATTTGCCATATGCGTTATAAAACTTGGAACACTCATTTAGGGACAATTTTAAGTGGACAATTTTGTCACTGGTTGGGAAATTAAACCATTTCCTCGTATCAATTGAGCAAGATCAGTCTTCTTTGGCCTTCTGTCTCTTGTCAACCTTATCTTTGAGCATCTTCCTGCAGAATTTGTCAAACTAATATTTTAAATAAACGGATTCAGGTCTATAAATTTATTTACCCTGGGCTCAGGTTATCATATTGATACAAAAATTGATGACAGATCTTTATCAGATAATCGAAGCCCTATTCAAAATTTTTCAGGATGTTGTCACATGAAAATTATTGGGAAGGAAGGTTTCTGATGTGATATATCCTCGATTTTTTGGATACTAACTTTATATTTCACCAAAATACTTGTATTTTAAACAAAAGATTTCCTACAGACCTGTGACGATGTCTTTGTCCTTTTTTCCTTCTGGAAAGCAGCTGATGTCACTTTGGTGTTCGATATCGCCCCATACATCTGCTGCTGTCCAGTTTTTTCCACGTATGTGAAGTTTACCAAGGTCTTAAAAAGGAAATAAAATGTTTAAAAATGAAAAAGCACTGGCGGGACCTTTGATTACGTATGCATATTTGCTAAGATGCTGTAGAGGGGGGCTCAAAAATCCACACGTGTAGTGAGTCCATTTTACGAAAAACAGATCTGCCTTAGATGCTTAAGATTGAATAAATTTCATTTTGTGGCTGCTTGGCCAACTTGTAATTTAGCAGCATGTATTAGAAAGTTCGGATCTTTGAGGTCAAGCAAGTTTGAAAGAAAGACTAAAACAACATGAACAGATACTTGTTGGTAAAATACGACCAAGTAGCGAATATTATTTTCTTCAAGATAAAATGGCCCGAGGATTTCTTGGCACCTACAGTACCAGAATTGCCGAATGTAGGGACATGAGCATCAGTTAGATGGAATAAGATTTGGTTGTTTGTAAAAATACGAATTCAGAGAAATCAACATGAAAAGAATCTCAAAAACATCACGTACATGCAAAAACAATGCATTTGTGTTTTTGTCCTGCGCATCTGCAAGTATGACAATTTGAGGATCTTTAACATTGATTGTGACTTTCATTTCCGGAGAATGTTCCAGTCTCCCCTTTTCCGGTGCCAAAGCAATCTGTGATCCAGGAACTAAAGCCGGTTTGGCACTTTGCTCCTCCAAAGCAACAGAATGCGTAGGTGTCGGCGGTAACGAAGGCTTGTCTGTCTCCTCCTCAACCGCCCCTGGCTGAGGCATCGCATTCAAGAAAACATTGGTCAAAACCATGATGTATTCGACATTCAGAATGATTAGGAGGTTCTGTAAATTTATACTGATTGACGTGTCCAGCTTTTCATTCATCTCGTATTGAAGTTCAAGCATAATTCCTTTTGATTCTACCAGTTTCTCGCCCTTGTGAGATGGTGTTGAAGTTTTGCTTTTGTAGTACTCAATCATCCTAGAAATGAGAGCAATTTAATACAATATGTTAATACTATTGACATAATAGAATTTACCTAACAGAATCTATGCTAAAAGTATAAAGGCCAGTTTCCACTTGATTCTCTTTGGCCGGTCGTGAGCGAATGCATGGTAGAGCATGTGCAAATTGAAGTTCCTCCTTCGAATGTGCGACCATTCGCTGAGTAAATCAACTCATTTCCCTGGTTTGTTGATTCGCTTTCGCCAAGTTGTGCGACCGGAATGAATCAAGTGGGGCCGGCCTTAAAGGATGTTAGAACATAATATAAAAAAGAGGCGAACACAAAATGAGGGAGGACTCTCAGGATGAAAGGGTAGTGAAGAGAGGTTTGTGCAATCTCTTGGAAAAGATTAGAAGTCTGGGGCAAACAGGAAATCGAGGGCTGGGGACAACTCCTTGTTACCACTGCATCGTAGTGGGCGATTTCCGACTAAAGAGGCATATATATTCTGATCTTTTTTTGATGAAAATGTTTAATTTGTTCTGTTAGAAGATGCCATCATTGTTGTCTGCTGCAATCGTCTTAAAATTACAATGATGCAAAAGCTCGATCAAAACAAAGTATGCAAAAAACAGCCGTAATTTTAAGCATTTTGGTTCTCTTAATCACCTCGTGACTCCGTCTCTGTTTGGCCGTTTGTCATCTAGAGTCAACGTGTCTAAAACAATAGATAAGGCCATCGCACTGTCGGATAGAATGTTGCCAATTATACCAAGATGGCCTATCACAAAAGTCCCTAAACAATGCACCGGCTTTCGTTCCATAAATTCCTCTCCATCTAACTAAAATAAAAAATATCAAAGAGAAAATCAATACCATTAAAATGATGATCATCCTGTTTCTATTCAATATATTTAAAAAATTGATGAATTGCTAGATAATATGACAATTATTAGCTTTCACAACGAGTCAGTACCAACCTAAAGATATGTGTATCAAGTTTCTTCAAATCCTTCAAAATCTAAGCTTCCAGTGACTTTAACAGATTCATTGGTTCAAAAAGTATAAAAAAAACAAGCCTAATTTTAAGCATTTTGGTTCTGATTAACATTGGTTCAATAAATTACCTAGGCCTAAACTAGGCTTTATTTACTACATTTGTTAGATGTTTACCAAAGTCAGTTCAGCAATTTACTAAATTCCTTATTGAAGAATGCATAACCATATCCATTGAAAAATCAAATGATACTAAACATTGAGCAAAAAATGTACCATGTCTTCTGGCCTAACGTATACTTCAGCAATAACGTTTTCGATTTCAAATGTAAACTTTGTTTGCAGCCATACTTCTGTGGGAGGTGCTCCACCGTCCGGTTGTGTAGCTGAGATAAAGATTTTAGGCAAGTTACGATTAATCAATTCATTGCGATAAAAAGAGGCAGAAACATTTTTGGTAGCAATTTGTAGCTTCTCTTCAAGAGTAGATCACGCGAAGATGAGATACCGTAAATCCTCGAATTAGCCCCCTGGGGGCTTATTTATCTTTGATATTTTTGGACGGGGGCTTATTCGAGAGGAGGGCTTATACGAGGGAGGGGGCTTATTAAATTATTGTCGACAATAAAAAGACATTATTAAAAGACCTTGTTTATTTTAGTTGGAATTTCTTTATGAGCATTTAATTAATTACTACCAAAAGTACGAATTTGTCGTGGTAATTCAATAAAACATCATAGGCAACCTCAGATGGCAAAAACCGTCAAATTGGGGGGTCCAATTCGAGAATATACGGTAGCAGTGGGGGCTTATTCGAGGGGGGGGGCTTATTGACAGTTCGTAGTTTTAGAGTGGGGACTTATTCGAGAAGAGGGATTTTTCAGGGGGGGGGGGCAACCAGGATTTACGGTAGTGGTGAAAGCCAAATATTCAATGATCACGATAGGAGCTCTTTAATGCCAACCTTTCTTTTCATCCTCAAAAACGTCGACCTAGCATCTCTATAAATCTTTTTCATCAGGCACCAATAATCATCATCAATCAAAAGCTGGCCTATATAAAAAACCTTTTCTAACAACACTTAAATCATTTTACCAGATTTTTCAATCGAATCAACTCCTTCAAGGCTTTCATTATCAGAATCCTCTTCTTTGAATGTTTCAGATTTGCCTTTCTTCTTTTGATCTGCAAAAAAATTTAAATACATGTGAACATGTACTCTTGAATGAATTAAAAAAAAAAATTACAAAATATTCTAATTACAAAGGTGAACTCGATATAAATTGTCGAGGTACAAGATACTTGACATACAAGATATTTGAAATGGAATCTAAGAACTTCTGCGACGACACGTATATATGTTTAGTGGAAATTTGGTTAAAACACTAAAAGTTAACAAAATTGTACACGAAACCAAAAAGCAACAGAAATGTACCCGGCTTAAGTAGTGAAAATTCGGTATAAATCAACATGAAGTTAAAGAAGTCCTTACAACAGAGCAAGGATTTGTTGTAAGGGGGAGAAAAGAAGGGAGGTAAGAAACAACATGAAACAGGGAAGAAAACGGACAAACTTTAAAATGTAGGAGATATTTGATAAGGAAAGGAAAGATAAATTAATGTAATAATAGGAGAGGCAAGTATTGTTTGAATGAATCAAGGAAGATAGTAGAGATAACAAAACAAGTGGTTGGACGAAAGGCTGTCACTAAAGGGAAATTTTTTTCAAATTCACCTTGTTCCCACAAATCAAATCCTTCTTTCATATTGTGATTCAGTACTTCCATAATTGCTCTCAAGTCCTCTTCGCTTACAGTCATCTAAAAGATAAACATCAATTTTGTTAAGATTTTGGTTTGGTCTGTTTCAGAGACCAAGTTAGGACTTTCAGCTGTCCGTATTATTACACAGTCGGCAATAAACACAAAATATAGCAAATCAGCAATGCATCTTATAGGAATAGTTGAACTAAATATGACACTTAATATATTACAGATATGATAGCACAAAGTAATAAGTAGCTTTTCAATCACCTTAACTGACTTTAAGAAGCCCTGTACTTCAATATCCGGGACTTCATGGTTCCAAGGACTAAGGCTGCGTATTAAACCGAGGTTCAAAGTTACAGGGTCTACAAGCAACCGCTGCGCAACGATCTCCTTGCCATTTTTGACCAAAGCTCTATGAAAGAAGATTCGCATGTCATCCACAAGCAGGAAAGCTTTCGTAAGTTATCTACCATAAAAATTTTACAGTGAATGCTTCTAGTACACAGAATAAAAGAAAAAAAAGGAAGAAAGAAGGTAAGAAAGAAAAAAAGAAAGAAAAAAAAAAAGAAAGAAAGAAAGAAAGAAAGAAAGAAAGAAAGAAAGAAAGAAAGAAAGAAAGAAAGAAAGAAAGAAAGAAAGAAAGAAAGAAAGAAAGAAAGAAAGAAAGAAAGAAAGAAAGAAAAGAA